AAAATTTCTATGAAAATCTTCGCGCTTCAAATCGTTTGCAACATTTATCAAAATAGCTATACTTTAATTTTGCCAGAGTTTCTGTACTGTACTTTCGTACTGCCGAACTTCCGTTTTAAGTAAATTTAACACAAGGATTACAAACTATTTACAACTGCTTTTCAAGAAAGTTTGAGATGAAATGTCAGATTTACTTTTGTTTTTGTGAGAAACTGAATCATTTAACGAATTGATATGATTTATTTCGTGCGCGTACCTTAAGAAAATTATGGAGCTCTCTAGTCTCGTGGTTCTAGTCATTGAGAACATTGCAGTCGACAACGGTTGAAAATGTTATGCGGCTCGTATCTCCAGGTTGCCCGACCCAAAAGGTCGTCAGTGGCAAATTAATCTGTGCAACTAGAATTAACCGCGGAAACTCGGGTTGTATCAGATTTCACGCTTCCTGGACGAAATATGATACCGCGCGGATCTTCGCGAATACTTCCGCTTTATCGTGGGACTTCTAATAGTTCTAATAGCTCTTTAATCACGGCTGAGCCACGAAGTCCAAGGTTGAACGTTAATTCGATTTTGGAGGCTCGAAGAAAAAACTATAATGGGAAAAAGTATAATGGGTGAGGTTCTCCTGTTTGTTAACCCATCTTTCGTTACGTTCTCTAGTTCGTAACAAGAAATTTGTAGTATTTTTTTTCTTGCAATAAGTTGTAATATAATTTATGAATTTATAGTTTTCAAAGAATGCTTTCACAACAGGTCGAAACGTTGAATATTAAAAGTATATTAACTCTGTCAACAAGAAGTTTTTACGTTATTTAGTATGTTTCATCAACGCTTATTTACAAATTTAAGATTTTACGAAAAACACTGACCTTAGTCGAGCATGTATGAACTTGATACGCGATAAGTCCAATATCAACTGAAGTAAATGAAATATGTACTCGTACAATTATCAACTGCATGTCTAATCTGTCATGTTTATCTGCGAGGATCAAACACGCAATAGGTATACTTAAGTCATTTATGATGTTATTGTCTACAGAAACTGCAAAATTATCCTTTGGGAAAAGCAAATTTCTGCAAAATGTAGAACAAAAATGTTTGAATTACCTGATTCTATACCGTAAATACATATATTTTCAATGTTACCTTTTGAAATTCGTAAAAATAACAAATATTGTAGAATATTTTCAAACGCGTATAAGAATCTCGCGAATGCATTTTAATAATTCATTATGATTATCTCGGCATATAATCCACGGCAATTTTTGTTCAAATCTGAAATCGTGGAAAGATATTTCTATTTATATCTTACATCTAATTTGAACAAAAACCAGATTGTTTCGTTCAATTGTGATATAATCGCAATTCCCTTTACTCCAAATACCAGAAAAAATAAACTCTCCTGTATTTTCGTCTCTGAGAAAGTAAGAATTTTTGCAGTTCTCGAATCTAGACGAGTAACAGCTTTTCGAAACGTTTCGACGTCGTTTCACGTTCTATTTCGTTAGTTTAATTAGAAGCTCGTTAAACAGAATCCAATGTCCGAGCAAAAGGAACGAATAAAAACGTTTAGAAGCACCGACTTCTTCGGGGGAATCGACGGTTTTTCAAAAACTATTGCGTGCACTTCGTCGGGCGCGCCGCGTGAAAACGAAAAATCTTCGTGTGCCTCAACCTCGTGGCTCGTCCGATCTCGTTAGTTTAATTAAAAGCTCGTTATCGAAGCCGACGACGTTACGCTCAGGCAGCTCGCAATGAGAAATGAGACTCGACCGACAGTAAGCTTTTACGCCCGTTAATATTAACGTACGACTTCTAATCCGCGGAGAGGAGAACTTCGAACACAATCAGAAATTTGGAAGTGACACGTTATGTCAAGCAGAGGGAAAGTGAACGCCGCTTGGAGCAAGAAGACGAAAGTCATCGTGTCCCGAACAAAATCGAACTCTGGTCGACGCCGCGAGAAACGAGACAGCTGGTTGGTGTTGTTCGGAGAGGTAGAACATACTTGATTTTTGTTAACCAATTTAATTTAATTCCGGACGATTTTATGAAGTTGGAAAATGTTGAAGGCGTAGTCAAATTCGCGAAAGGTTCCTGGTATCATAGAGCATTTTGAAAAAATAATTAAGTATTACATGCACGTAAATTTTTAGTTGCCCTTACTGGACGAAGTAATGATCGTAGGGATTATAATAGGAACTGATAATCTAATAAGTAGTATTATAATGTTAACAAACGGGCTTTGTTTTAAAAACTCGAATTTATACCTACAGTAATCACTAGACTGCGGATTATACACATTCGTAATAATACAGAAAATATACGTAAAATATAAATCATGTGTGTTGAATTTTTTCTACAATTATTACAGCGATACTTTCATTTCATGTTGCATAAGTACATGTACCTTTTGATTTTCTACAGTATGTATTTATTATATTATTTTATATCATAAATGCATAAAATCCGCAGTCCAGTAATTACGAAGGAAGAGGATTAAATTACAAATCGCGACAATTGTCGTTCGACAAAAGTTTCTTGCTGTCGTTTGGAAAAATTGATACTACTTATCCGGAATGATTGTTTGCAATGATTAGTTCAGCAAGGATAATTCGTGACCGGCTATACAAACACAAGAGGCCGAGTTTTCGAGCTCCCGTTCACTAGAATTAGTACTGTTCTCAATTGACGCCTACGAACGACACACACGATATCTCTTCCACTATGGAATAGCGCCATTATAATGCGCATGGAATAAATTACTGGCGGCTAATGCGATTCAGCGTTTTACCGGTGTTGATCGAGCCCTTCCGGCTCGAATTTCTTTCCACGACGAATCCCGAGCGTTTTCAAGGAAGCGCCAATTTATTGACAATGGGATCGAGTTAGGCGTTGGAAGAGGGACGGATGAATTCTGTGTGAAAAAATCGTTCGTAACGAAACTGGCACTCGGCTAGGAATAAAAGGGTCGAAATCGTGGGAATTTCTGCGCGAATCGATCAAACCGCTTTATAATAAAGGGTTTTCCAAAAGGATATTTAAGATTTGATTTTTAATTGAAACACAAATGAGTTAGTGTAGTCGTTGTGGATAACTCTTAAGAGACGAATTTTAAATGGATTCTGTTTGCTCTAATCGAACTTAACATTCAAATGTACTGCTTCGCTTCAATACGATATACTTTTTAATCGTAAAAGGTATCGTGACCGTAAGTAACGGCAATTTCGATGTGAAAACGAAAGTATACATATGTGTCAATATATCTCTCAATAATATTTCTTTAGAAACGAAAATATATATTTGCTTTTCATCTTGCTAATCTTCTCGTGCAAATAACACACACGTCCACACAGTGCACAAATATCAAATATACATATACAACATACATGCATATCGACAAATATCGCGTATTTACATTATGCAGACGTACCCACGTACGTAATTAATTTTATCGTTTATAGGACAAACAAATGTTTATTTACTCAACGGCATTGCCCTGACAAACATTTTATCAGGATTAAGTACAGTTTTATTAGCGCAAAAAATTGTTTGTCCTGCGCGTATAGAATGTTACTTGTATGTTATGTAAATAAAAATACATCGAATTCAGAGGTCGAATATAATATTCTTTGGTTAATCAACTACCAAATACTAAAGATGACCACAGAATAAATCGATTACTCCAAATTTTCACTCAATATTCGTTTGCAGAAAATTCACTGAATCTTTTTTACTCGTCAATATAAACTCTAAAAGTATTTTGTAGTTACGCTGCTTACGAAGATAACATACGAACAATCATAATTTATCTAGACAATGCTTTTTGAACAGTACCTAAGAATGCTCTGTTTACTATGTCACGTTTCGATAAACATGAACAATTCAAGTAGAGTCTGTACTTGTGACGTCACAGATCGTTTTAAGCGAACTTTTCGATCTGTGAGCGGATCCGTTTTCATCGACAGGCGAAATGCTCGCGTTTGCGTGCAATCAGCGATTGCACATAGGTTAGCGAAGTACGGTTCCGATAAGGAGATGGCTAGTCGTTGATAAGACATGCCACCAGCTTTCAGTCAGTCAAACGAAGTCGGTGTTACATCGCGAGAAACGTTTGGAGCACCTCGGATTCGTGAGAACGCATTGCGAAGGATAACATAACATCAAGTGTGAAACAGATAAAAACGGTCAATGTTAATCGGATCGCGTATCTGGATCCGCCGCTGAATTTTTACGAGAAAAACAATGAATTTATCTTAACGGGATCTTCACTTAGAGTTTGTTGATTCGATCTTTGTAAAAAAATGAAAATAGATAGCTTTGGAAATACTTTATCCCTGAAAGAGGATATCCCAGAAGAATCCTCGATTTTTCGATATTAAAACATTAATATAATGGTCCTCCGAAGGCAAGGTTTGAGTTTACCGTAACTCGAGTGAGAGTACTGTGGACTCCCTATGGATCGATTGGAATCTGGATATTCCTGCAGGAGTTCCAACCAAATATTGAAACCTTGAAAACCGCGATACCTTTACAATGCACTTATTTCGCGAAGACATGAAAGAAACGAAGACGCAACGCGACACTGATTCTCTCTGTGAGTAAGTCTTTTAATCGGCGAGCAAAGAGAGCACGTCAAGTTCACATTGGATACACTAATCGTTCGTATATCACTGCAATAAAGATAGAGCTAGTGAGTTTCGCAATCACGTAAAACTGTTGAGTGACAGGGAGGATGTCACGGATAAATCGAAGGTGACGCGGGAAATCCAAAGCATTATGTATAAAATAATGAAGTTATCGAAATGCTTAAATAAAAATAAAGACGCGATACTCCGATCGCGCTCAACGTGACCAGAAAGAGGAACATCCTTAAAACGTGAACGATGACACTTCTGTGAAATAATTTTATTTATTTTATTACAGACAGAATATTAAAAGAAATAACGTTAAAAGAGACAAGAAATTGTCGAAAGATAAAAAGAAATGCTTAAATAAAACATTTGAAACATTTGATGGAAGAAAATCCGGAAAGATTGAAATTAATAAGAGAGACATCGAAATGTAATAGGGTGATTGGAAATTAGGAACTCTGGCGAAAAAAGCCCTATATGGACACCGATTCGCTTCTGCAACGTTCCGCGTGACGTAACCAGTCCATTTTCTCGCAAATGAAAAGAGCAAACGTTATTGTTAGTAACTGATAAGTGGAGACCGCTGGTCAGGTATTGGCTCGTACATATAAGACGTCTTCGTTGCTCGGACACCAGTAGATCCTCCACTAGCAAACTCGGCAGCTATCCGGTTTTGCCACCACAATCAGTCGTTTTGCCAACCTCGAAGAGAACAAGTGACCTGTCATCTTCGTAATTAATCGCGGTAAGATGCGATGACCCGCGGAAGGATACGAAGATGTCGAAGATAAGCTTCAGTTCCGATTTCTTCGAGAAATCACGCGGTGAGTTTGTTGACTCTTGAACATCAAGAACCGACGACCGATTCCAGACTTGTTCGATGGTGCACCGAATACAGAGACGATTCGAACGATGAGATTGATTCTGGAAGAAACTTGGACGATTTAATTAACAATCGCGATTCTCGGTGAGTTTTCTCAGCTGGCTTCGCAGCTGCGGCAAAATAAATTCATCGGTCCTTGAAGAGAATCATCAAGGAGAAAGATAATCGATAAAAATGTATTCTTTTTCCACCATGGCTGTGATCGTCGCGATAAGCGTGTGAAAGATCGAGCGGGATATACGAAAGGCCGGCGAAGTGTGATAATCTGATAATTAACGACAGGAATATAACGCCTCGCTGCTCGTTGACTACCGAGGCCCAACGTTTTGGCAACAACCCACTTCTCCGGATAAGGATTGTTATCGTCGCTGAATCGTACCAGCGCGGAAGATGTAATTATCGACATTCGATTAGAGACAGAGTGTACCGAAGATATTGAAAATCATCGAATGTGTTCACGTCGCATGAATGTTTCCTGTATGGGTGCGCGAGCTTGTTATTTACGATCGCGAACAGAGCCACGAGATCACGAAGAGGTGTTTGCCGAGCAAAATAAATAAGTCCGTCAGTGGGTGATGGTCGTTTGATAGAAAGCGAGAAATTGAGGCTGCAGTGATACGAATTGGACAGTAACGCGTGAAGCCTTGCGGAGATCGAGTATTGGAAAGTGATCGAAACGATATATGAAGAATCGGTGAAGGAACTTGGTGATTAAACTAAAGATGAATCGAGCAGAGCGAGTCGAGTGTTAAGTACAAAGTGTACGAAGCCTTTAGAGACTCACGATCGAACTGAACCGAAAGTAAAAGGACTGAAAGGAAATGGAGGACGATATTCCGAAGATCCCGATACCCAACGTAACATTGTCGTCGTCCGATCACGGAGAGAAACAAAATCTGCTGCCACCTGCGTCGCCCACGACTCCCATAATCGTTAAACTATCCAAGAACTCGAATGCGACGTTCAGAAGCAGGTAAATTATATTTCAGCAACGAACATCTACCGATAGGAATTCTCGCTGCGCAATAACTTCCGCGCTAATTAATGGAATTGTGGAGTTAATCATTATTCATTAATACCGCGAATTAATCGTCCGCTTCGCGCCGTCAACTCCTTCGGCATTAATCAATAAACGATCAGTCCTCGATCCGTCGCCTTCGAATGCACGTGTAACTATACCTATCCCCCGATTCGGTTTTGTGTTTTATTTTTATTTGCCGATTTTCGAAATAACGAATTTCCGTAAATAGTAGAGATTGAAATAAAATATGTATGCTGTGCAAATATCTGTGCAGTCATTCTTTTACTGTCGTTTGTTTGTTAACACTGGCATTAAACTTAATAAGAGGAATTCTCCCTTTTTTTTGTACGTGAAAAGCATTCATATTAATTAGGTGGGTGGAGCTTTAGCTGCTGAAATGCGTGTACTATCGCGTTTTTCCTAATCAGACATTTTTAAAACTTCGTACTTAATGGTTAGAGATAAATAAATGTTTATAGTTCGATAGAAATTTCATAAGTTTTACTATGTCGAAAGAAATTAAAAGAGAAAGTGAAATGAAAAGTCGTATGCTTCGAAACCAAAATGGAACTCAGTCCACCAAGGACCATTGTACTCGAATAAAATAAAGCGTTATATATTTCTTATTTCATGAGTGGGCTGACTTCTTTTTTCATTTATTATTTATTCTTATTTTACGTTGAAATAACTGAATTTAATAACGCAAGAATTACAAGAATTACAAGAAGAAAAGTAAAATTAAAATAAAAGATGAACGTTCAAAATGAAAGACAGATATCCACCAATAATTTGTCCAGTTGCACATATTCAATTTACAATATTTCATGAATTTTTATAAGTATTATTACGTTTGCTCATAGAAACAAACCAATCGGACACGTTTCCGACTCCCTTATCAACGATGTCTTCGAACAAACAAATTACACTTCTCGTTACTTCATACTTGTAATTAAGTTTAATTCAAGTTTTAGCGTAGATAGAACTTATCAAAACTCAGGAATCTTTGGCGAATCACTGGCCAGAGAATTTCTTTCATTGTTCTGCTTCCTCGAAAAACAACTCCTTATTACGAACTATCCTTATCAATCTTTCTACGATAACGGAAGAATTCAGATCTGCTTACACCTTGTTGAATCGTTCGAATGAAATCGTGCACGCGATAGATTCGGACATAAAGTATATCCGAATGAAAGGAATCTTCATCATCCTCTCCAAAGAAGAGATTATTCGTCTTTAAATAGTCGGGGATCGTTGCAGCTGCGATCGATGGTGGAATCACGGAGTTCGCAGTGTGTCAACGGCTCGTCGGTTGATCTATGCGTGGCAATAAATAAATTGGTAGATAACAGCTGCTCGGGTATCATTCGAAGTCAAAATGGCGACTTCCTTTTTGCCGTACGAAAGGAAGGCGAGCACGAGGAGTCTCGGCCGGATCATCGAACTGGTCGCAACGATAATCAGCGCGCTGCTAGTCAGCGCCCGTTCGAATTCTACTCTCGCATCCGCGGATAAATGAACGATGAAATCGTCGCGTTACGATCCCTGCTCATGAATCGATCGATTTTCGCTCGATTCTGGCATTATTCTCGCGTACGAATCGCGTTTCCTCGACGAATCACGAGCAAACACTGCTGACAGTTGACGCATGTAGCAACAGTGGAGGGCCGATAAAGTTGTCGATCGAATCTTTTTAACGTCGTACAAGTCGATTTCACCCAAACCGAAGTGCAGTCGGTCCGCGATGAACGGATGACCGAAAGAAACTGGATCGGCTCGAGATCGATCATTCGCTGTGATACTCATTTCGTTGAGAAGGAGACAGAAAATTGACGCGATTTCGGGACGCTCGAGTTTGTCGCAAAGGTTCAAGAACGATGACGTACAATGCAGAGAGATCCATCGTAAGTATTTTTCTCGAAATAATTACCAAGCCTGCAGAAGTTCTCTCGTCGGGCATGATTAATTATGTGACAGGCAATTCTTTTGTGTTTCGTTACGCTTGAAAAACGCGACGTTTAAAAAAAAAAAAATGGAATGATGAGTGTTTCGTTGAGAAGTGAACTCTAAGAGATGAAATTCTCCGTTCTTTGCCGAGTCAAGTGTGCTTCCGCTCGCTTAAAGTTACCCGTCGAGGTTATCACCCTTTGAGCTCCGAGATTTTTTCATATAGGGAACCATCGTCTTCGCGATACTTTTTCAAGAGCAAATGAAATAGTAAAGTAACCTTATGTACACTCTGAATGCAAACTGAATGTTTTATATTTTAGGATAATAACTGGATCTTAAGTGCTATAATTTTGCTTGGTATAATATAGTAAATCCGTCTGGCACGGCATTGTATTTTGTAGATAGCGTCGAAATAAATTGGGCAGGATAGTTGCAAAAACAAAATCTTATATATACATATATAAATAAACGTACCAAAGTTCAACAGTTTATGTCAAGCACTTTGGTTGCAAGAAATTCATGAAGATTCCCTCGAAAGTGGTAAACAAAGAGTACCCCTTTAAGTTTGAAATCCATGCAAATAAGGACGACAAGTGACACTCGCTGCTGAATTGCAAAGAGTTCATTAATGAAAATGCATCTCTGTATGCACATGCAACAAACGAAAATGCAATAAACAAATTATTACTATAAATCATTCTCCTCGATCACGCGGAAATCTTGGCCGCCTTTTTCACATCGTCGTTGATTCGTTATTAAAAAGGCAACAACGAATCGGCGCTGGAACAACAATGTGATCTTTGAAATTTGTTATTCAAATCCGACGCGATCTGTTCGAGGAATACATTACGAGGCGTGAACAAAAGTCAAGTTAAGCCGCGAGAAGGCCTCGGTGACAATTTTTGCAACAAGCGTTACTGGTATTGAAACGCGTAATTTATTCCTTCGAATTGTGCAAGAAAAAATCTTGCATTACGCATGGCGGAAGGTGTGTAACGAGGATTGACGCGTCGACAGACAGCTCTTTCGTGTTTCTTCGCGCGTCGAGCACGTGTAAAATATAATTGACTTTAATCTGCATAAATCGTGCACTCGCGTGATCGCGGTGTATTGTAGTGTAATTGGAAATTTCTAATCAACGAGTAAACTTGGGCAGATTCGATGTTCATGGCTATGGTAAACAAGTATTGTGCTCGTCACTCTTATAGAGTCAGCGACTGTCGAGATTCGTAACAGCAATCATGACGAATGATCCTCGTCGTAAACGTTTACTATAAGTAATTAGGATGAAAAAGATTCATTGAGAACAGTAACCAGTTTACAAATTCAAATGCAATTCGAGCAACGTTTGTCATCACTGTTTAGTAGACAAAATAACTATGTAAATCATGAAATAATATTTATATCTTAAAATAACAATGCTTTTGAATCGAGAGTAAGTCTTGGACTCTAAGAATTATGGGGATAATGCTCCTAAGTAATGCTAAGCAATGGAAATCTTACAATTGTTATCTATTATAATTAGATGTATTTATGCGTGAGTCACGGATCATTAACTACAGATTTCAATTAGTCATTTGTTAATAAAAACATGAAAACTCTCCGTTATCAGCGGGTACACGAACTTCTGACAAAGGCAACTCTAATTTTAGCAAACTGTTGCAAAATTGTTACAAAACAATGCAGTTCGCGTTCGGTAGTTTGAAACGCAATTATTAATCCATTTCGAAGAATGAGATTAATTATAATTTCTGTGTACTTTACCAATCAAATCATTCGTTAACTAAAAATATGATCATGTTTATAAAAATGTTTGTAACTCTTTCCCTCGTATGTAGATAGGACTTCATTTTAATGCTTGTTTCTTATCTCCATAATTTCAATAGAAAAAATAAAACAAGATAGAAGAATAATTTGTTTAAAAAATGTAATGGTATCACAGCAATTGAAAACAACTGGAAAGTACGATAAGCTAAGAGAAACTAAGTAAACTAAGAAAAACATACAAGAAGCAAATCCAAATTCAATGGAACTAATATTATGAAAGTAATTTCTTGAAAAATTTACAGATGTAAAAATAGAAATGTGATATATTGTACGAATTTAAGTATTTAAGAACAAAATTTAATTAGGCGTACCATTAGTCTGAATATTTCAGCATTCGAAAAACAATTGGTTTATAAAGATTAATTAAGACTCTTAAATTGCTCCAATTATCTCCGTTATGAAAGCGACAAAGGTCCATCGGTGATCACCAAATACATATTTTGCTTCGAGTAATATCTATATTGTTTGAACGTCAAGTAAATTGATTTATCGGCGATTACCAAAAGCATACAATTAGTCAATTAGCTCTTATCAGTATTTTCAGTTGATTGAAATGCGAAAGCTTTCATATCTCGAAATAGATATAAATGAACTTACACACACTTTTATAACGAATGACTCGCGTATATATTATTCCACGATGAATGATCGATCGACAAAGAAATGATTCTGTTACACATTATTTCGAAGATTATATATTTCGTTAAATCTGAAATAAAAAATAACGTATAAATCGTTTATTTGGAAAGCGGCATAGGTCACAATAACAATTTAATATGTATTTAGCCACTGAATATTTCGATTGAAAAACAAAGTAACTTATGTCCCTTTCAAAATAAACTACACACAGGATCAACGAGAATCGACATCAAAAAACTACAAAAGATTCTATTATCCAAAAATTCTCTTATCCGATCATCATTCATTCGGATAATCGAGATTCTACTGTACTTATTTCTTATGTTCATTTCGTGGAATCATTAATCATTCTCCGATTAAAGACACTGTAAACTTTCAGGAGCCGGTACAGGGCAGGTCCAACGCGCAAGCTGCGTCGTCGAGCGGTGCTGAAGAATGGCGAATGCAACGTTCTGCAGTCCCGCATCTCCAGACGATCGCTACGCTTTCTCCAGGACATCTTCACGACCCTGGTGGACACTCAATGGCGATGGACGTTGTTGTGCTTCAGCCTGAGCTTCGGGCTCTCCTGGCTGGGCTTCGCGGTGATCTGGTGGCTGATCGCCTTCACCCACGGTGACTTCGAGGAACGCCACCTACCCCCGTTACAGGTCGAGAACAACTGGACGCCCTGCATCTACAACATCTTCTCCTTCACCAGTTGCTTCCTATTCAGCATCGAGACCCAGCACACGATCGGCTACGGAAGCCGCTCGACCACCGAAGAATGTCCCGAGGCGATCTTCGTGATGTGCATTCAGAGCATAGCTGGCGTGATGATCCAGGCCTTCATGGTCGGCATAGTGTTCGCGAAAATGAGCAGGCCCAAGCAGAGGACCCAGACGTTGCTGTTCTCAAGGAACGCGGTGATATGCCAGAGGGACGGTGAACTCTGCTTCATGTTCCGTGTCGGCGACATGAGGAAGAAGAGTCACATCATCGGAGCCGCGGTTCGCGCGCAACTAATCAGGTCCAGGACCACCAAGGAGGGCGAGATACTGTCTCAGAATCAACAGGAATTGGCCGTCGGCACAGACGGCCAGAACGGTAACCTGTTCTTCATCTGGCCGACCACGATCGTTCACAAGATCAACGCTGAATCACCGTTTTACAACATGTCCGCCGAGGATATGCTGTTGGACCGATTCGAGGTCGTGGCCATTCTCGAGGGAACTATCGAGTCCACCGGGCAGACCACTCAGGCTAGATCCAGCTACCTGCCGCAGGAGATTCTTTGGGGTCACAGATTCGAGCCGATGGTCACGTACTCGAAGGAGAGGCAGGGCTACGAGGTGGATTACTCGCTGTTCAATAGCACCACGCAAGTCGACACGCCTCTGTGCTCGGGCAGAGAGCTCGCTGAGTTTTACAAGGTTCAGGAAGATCTTCGCCATGGGAACGGTAAGCCTCTCGAGTTGATCAGCCCGACTAGTGGACGATTTAGCGTTAAAGAGAGTCTAGTTAAAGCGTTAGTTTGCCGATAAATGTACACCGCGAGAGAAACGCTCGAACACGCTTGCAATCAGGGGCGGACAGTTGATCGTTATCTAATTTGATCCTAAACTAGTCGGAACCGGAAGCTTGCGTAGATCGAATCGATTCGAATTGTTTCTCTCTAGCAATTACGATAATCGATATGACCTACCGTGGATATTCCCAGTGAACCAATTTTTACCCCCTTCCACCGAACCCTTTTTTAGCTGTAGAATCGCGTTTAGCACCACGAAAATAGTCAATAATCCTCTCTGCGTCTTCAAACGCTGAACGACATCGAAGTTTCGCTTGATTGGCACGTCCGGCGCAATTAAAAAATGTCCGTCGTGCATCCATCAGCAAAACATCGAGCAATAACACGTTACAAAACAACCACTAACGACACCGCAAGGTTAACCACATACGCTAATTGGGATGCACACGCGAATCAAACTAATCGATACCAACCACACAGGCCCGTGCACGTCTCGTTCCGCTTCCTTGTGCTTGAAACTCTTTGTTTGTCTGCCTGCCTGCCTGCCTGCCTGCCTATTTCATAGCTCTGCGAACAGCTTTCGTTCTTGTCTGACATCTTGGTGCTGGATATACCGTAGATGGAGGCCTGCGGAAAATTCCTAGCGAGCCGAAATCCGTGCCAGTGATATTGAACACCGTAAGCCAACCCGATGCCACGGAGTTTCTTGTCCCTCAAGGATCATCGAAACTTCACATTGACATTCCATCGATCGACGACTGCCCGGGAGTCTAAGCCAACCCGGTACGCGAAATAGAGCAAGGAAGTAGACGAGGAATGAAACGTAAAGACAAAAAGAAATAGATCGCCACAGTAGACGAAGTTAAGACGTAAGGATGACCTGGAGTATCGTACAGACGATTTCTATGTTCGAGGACCCGTTTTCACGTCGGACGATCTCTTCGTCCTGTCTCGAAAAGATACCATTGATGCCGAAGAAGCTATAAATACCGGGATCGGAAGCCCGTGGCCGTGAGAACGAATTTCTCTGAACTGTCCGAGGCCGAGAGTACGATAGAGAAATCACGGAAGACTTCGATCTGCCTGTTTCGTGCTTGTGTCTGTCCCTCGTGTTGTCTTGATTCTGCTCGTGTGACGTCGCGCCCTCGCCGAAGATCGTTCCGCGACACGACAGCGACGCGATCAGGAGGTAGTTGGTAAAGGGGTATCGACTAATCGATTCATAAATACAGGACACACACTTTCTAAATAATCTTTACGACTGGGGTATATGTTGCTGTTGGGTGGTTCTCCTAAGACTATCAAACTCGACATTCAAAACGAAGCATGCATTCCACACGCGTTCCACGGTGTTCCCCGATATTATTAACACTCAAAGAACTAATTCGATATTCGTCGTTGTTCGGAAGGGTTGGGCGATACTTTGGGTTACGAACTGTCACTCGTAAGAAGTACGCAACATTTCTGAACTTGCTCGTTGAAAGACCGAGACCTAGAACCGTTGATTCCCAGAGTTAGCAAAGGGTCGGTAACATCCACTTATCGAGCAGCCGGAACCTAAGCGTATCTCATCAACGAAACCCCCCTAAGCAATAGACTACTTTCCAGGTGTGATAGTCGACGAGGATCTCCTAGGAGAATCCTGCGCGGACGGTCAGTGCCACTGCAGTCATCGTCCGTTCATCGCGATGAATCACAATCAAATTCATCCTCTGACGTACGTGGACAGCATCAGAAGCGAAAACAGCGTCGACGAGACGGCGAATTATCGGAACGCTTACAGGGATTCGATCTGTCACGGACCTCCGGTCCCGCCCCGAGAGCACGGTCAGTACAAAATCGTAGATGTAGAGTCCGATGATATCCAAGTGATGGGCGAGGTCGAGCTACAGCACCTACCGGAAGCGGTGAACAGGGAAATCCTGAAGAACAGTCGCGAGATCATCTACGAAGAACCAGAGACACCTGGCGAGGGAAGTATACTTCTGAGACCAGCTTATGGTCGTCGGAGTATGATCAGGTACCCGTTGCTCGACGAAGAAAGGAGATCGTTGAACAGCTCCAAAAGAAACTACTACCACAGAAATATCCTTAGAAGCTTGGACGAAGACAAAAGGTCCCCCGATGGCTGCAGAAGAAACCTGTGCGGATCCAGAAGGTATCTCTTGGTTCCTCTGGACAGCAAAACCTCGGATCTCGGCACCAGAGAGAATGTAATCGCCACGGGACGACACACGGGAAGCAAGGAACACCTGAACGCGCTGAGAAAGAACGGCTGTGCCAAAGGATCTAAAGAGACCCCCGAAATGGACACCAGAGAGATACTGGTCTCGAACGACGATAGACTGACGATCGAGTCGGAGAAGTTCCCGAAACAAACGCCTCTTCGTCAGCACGAGGTCGCGCTATCCGAAGGCAACGGAACATCGTTGTTGGACCCTAACTTGTCGCCGAACGAGTACTCTTCGTCCCCGAAATGTCGTCAGTTGCCTGTTCCGGTGTCACCGATCTCTCCGACGTCGGATCTTTCGCCGGAGTCGGGTTTCTACGAAGGGGCTCAGTGGAACTCCAGTCCAGAGTACATCAGGAAGGATCTCCGGCTTCCTAACGCGTCTGTGATCACGAAGAATAGAAGGAGCTACGAGAACGCGCAGTTACAGGACGTTAACGAGGCCCTGTCTAGACCTAATAGTGAAAATAGTTCACTGGACAGTGCGGAATCCGTGAAGAATATAGCGAACGACAATGTTCTTCACAAATACGGGGAGAAGAACGTTGTTACGAAACAGGCGATCTCTTACACGAGCGTCTGACGAGAACACATAACTTTCTGTGCCTTTCTCCGAACGTATAACTTCCAAGTGCCAGTGAAAAACGTGTTGTACAGTCAGAACAAGCGTTTACTTCCGAAACAAGGTATTCGTAATCGATCGTTACTCAATCCTCGACTACCGCCATTGGAAATGTCCAGGCGAACGGATAGGCTATAGCTCGACGACTTAGGTATAATCCCTTAGATTGTGGTTTGAGCGCGATGGAGCGAGTCTTAGGGGATGAAATGTAGAGTCGTTGTTGGATGTTAGCCTGGTTTAAAGAAAGACTATCCAAAAACGGAAGGCATCAAACGTCTTAAGGTTAAGAATCGAAACTTTGTCATGTACTATCTTAAAAAATTAGATCTTTCGCAACTCCAATAGACGGTATAAGTTAAAAGTGTATGTAAGGTTATGGAATTTGAACAGAAATGGTATGGAAATGCTAATGTTGTAGTGTCACGACCACCCATAAAGTGCAAAATTGGTTGAGTAGGGAAAGCGGTCGACTCTGGATCGCAGGACCGTGGGTCCGAATCTCCGTGCCTTATTTCTCGTTTAGACAACGTTGATGGATTGAAAGAAAAAGTAAACCCATAAGGATTCGGTAAGAGAAGAGACTGGACCAGCATTTGCCCACAGTGGGGACCTTTTCTAAGTTGTCAAGCTATATTTTGCATTACGATCGTCGGCATATTTCAAACTGGTTGACACATAACGCCAAATTCGCGTACATCTGCAACCTTTCGTTTCGTTAGCTAATTTAAAGCTTTCGTTAGTCAATTTAAATAGGTCCGTCATTTCGCTGAGACGAAGCGGAAATTCCTTTAGACTTGTATGTATTCTATTGATAGATTGTCAAAAATTCTTATATAGATAAAAATCTCGAATAAATTCTAATTTATATTCAATTCGTTACGTAGAATGAAATATTTCTCAATGAAAAATAAAATTGAACCATCTAGTGAAATGAACATTATAAATAAATTACCGTAGGTTGGATATATTTATTATCTATTATTCGAATAAAATTTTCCTCGTCTCTGATTCTGTTCACGCTGAGTTAAATATTCGCGAAATTCGCATACCCTTTGATCGCTTCTAAATGACTGTGTTCGAGGGTTGAGGAAACTAAGCATAAGATAGGTAAGAGTATCAACGAACGTAACTGACTTTTCGCGTAATTAAGATGCATAATTTCTGAAAACACCTGGTTTTATGCGAATTTATACCGTTCTCCTATTCCCCATTAAAATATATTCATTTGTCTAAATCGCTGTGAAACCGCGGGTCGGTTAGTGCGAAGCTTCCGAAGCTTAGGTTAGTCTCATAAAAATCACGACGAACGAAGAGTAAATTGTGAACGAGGTTTTCTTCCTTCTGACAAGCTTCTCGAAGGCTTCATTTAGGAATATTCTTCGAATAATTTCGAAGACGAAGCATGCAGCGCTTTTTTATCATCGTATTAACCCTTCAACTATTCAACGAAATAAAATTTCACGATTATTCGAAACGCGTTATAGTTTGCATTCTTCGGACTTCAAAGTCGGCATGCTCGTTAGATTTAGACGTAAAAATCGCATAAGCGCAACGAGAGTATTTAGTACGCGACGGAAGTGAAAGGATAAACTTAGGATCGTGACCGAGGTCGCCGACACGTCAACTCTTCTCTTGCTTTCATTGTAACAATGATCATTTTTACCAACGCGAGTAAAGCATGTGTGTATATAGAAAGATTTCTAGATTTTCAAATGCCCGTTGAACGAATGCGTTTCTAACGTTTGTCTCTCAGCCAGTCTGGAAACCTAGAACCGCGACGACGACTGACAGGGAAAGAAGATGCCCCGAAAACTGTGTATTGTACTTTTAGGACACGAGTAGTCGTCTAACTAAAGTGCCTTGTTTTTTCCTTTGCATTCCCACGAGAAAGAAAAACACACACGCGTTCGCTGACAAAATAAATTAGTATCGTTGATATTTATTTATTATTAAAGACACCATCGATGAAGCGTCGATACGCATCAATACGGTAATTGCCGCTTTCAAGTGACAAAAGACTAGTTTTATCGTATGTTATTTAAATCATGTCTCAAGAAATTATCAAGACCCTTTAGGAAATCACTTTCTAATTAAAGATAGTCCAAATAAAACTATATCTGGGTTTATTTTGAATGAAACATAACGAAAAAATAATGCCAATGTATTAATAATATTCTCACGAGTATATTGGAGTACGAACACAAATTTTCATTTTCATTAAAGGATGATACTCGACTGATCGCTCGAGCTGAATAAATTTCAACGTTAGAGAAATGATTGAATTACTTGAATCCAGTATCAGAATTGTCACTTAAAAACGATGATCACTGTAATTCGAATATTTTCTACACCGTTTCGTTCGAACAGTACGAGTCAGTTTGCGAGGCAGTTAGTCTAACGCCATTTAGGTTCAGTACGCTGGAAAACCTCGGTAAAAATGATAACTATGCGTGTTATTTTTGGGAGCATGGATACCTGCCATCAGGACTTCTAGCAGAAATTGTGAAGATGTTATTTGTAATAAAGACAATTCGAAACCAATAACGACTGTTTTCTCTAAAACTGGAATGGAGAACCTATATCCTTTTTAGGTATTCGGAGCGACCTTTCGTCATGGTTTGTCAATAATGTTTTTTTTTTTCAATTATCAATTAGAGTAACTAAAAGAAAAAAGAAACTTTGTCTCCTAGAAGTTAATTAAAATCGATCGATCATTTTTAGATATGTTACCCTTTTTCTTGTTTTGCTCGTCTGTAATACGCGAAAAGTAAACATAAGTTTCTGCTTGAGTACACGTCTGTTTACAATTTTAGAAAAAATGACCGTACAAGAAATTTACGACGTTATAAGAAATCCATGAAATCGCATAAAGTCTATCAGTGCCAAAGGGTTCCCCATCTCTGCTCCACGATCCTCGATATACGTCAGAGTTTCTTTTTTTTTTTTTTAGATCATTATGCTTGTTTTTTCTATTCTCAAAGCGTAACTGCTACGTTACGTTCATGAAAATTCGCGTGTGTAGCTCAACATCGAACAATTTCGCGTGAGAATCGAATCAGTGTGCAGAAACAAGCGAGAACGACCGATAACCTTTATCGCGAAGTCCGCATGTAAGAATTCCAATTTCCAAGAGCATGTATTTCTTGAACGAAACGCGCTTCGGTGTTCCACTTTGAACGTTATGCCAGCTCCACGGGACAGCCCTCCTCCGTACTCTGGCAAATAATCGTGACTCAATTTAAATACGGCCAATTATTACGAAATGCTGACTTGGCGAACGATACTAACAGCATAAACGGCCGGAGACGAGGACGACATTAGCAGTGCAAAAGTATCGACATTATGCCGAACACGAAGGGTAAGTGACTGTAAAAGAACAAGCTCTAAAACGTATCCGATTGGTCTTTAAAACACCTAACGTTTCGTTCACCTAATGCCTTGGCTGAATTCTAGACTGCGGATGTTTATGCAAATTCATATTTCTAAATGAAAGTATCTCTTATCTTCTGAACAATGTAACATGTATTAATGTTGTTGGCGTTTTATACACTTTTGAATTTTTCCTCATATATTTTTCTATATTTCCAGTTGATATAAATGTATAAACTTCCACGATCCAATGATAAAGATTCCCCAACTCGCGTGTTGGTCTTGCAGACCGTTAAAAACGAAATTTGATAATTTATACATAATCACTCTTTCTGTTCTACGATCTTTTTCCACTTTTCTGGTTATTATATTAACGACTCATTAAAGTCATTATATCGTCGCTGTAAATTTTCTGTAGTTTTTTTTTTTTCATTAAATACGAATACAATCTGTGGCACGAACTTACGAGATGACCTAGTATAAACGAGATAAAATGGTCCTTCGTTATTTTCCTTTTAATGTTAAATGAGTGGTGCAATTTATGTGCGCCGCCGTACTTGTTCTTTCTCGTGCGCAATACGTGTCCAATGTAATGATAGTTGCGATGTAAACAGTTCTATTATTTGCGTTATATTGACTTCTCGCCGTGTCCAACTTGTCTTTAATCATCTACGCAGCATTTATACCAGTCAGAATTCTCACAAGAACGAAAAGACTTAAATTCAAAGATTTCGTTTAAAAGATTTAGAAGATCAATAGAAACATATAAATTCCAAGATTAATTTTGACAAAAATATCAGTGGTACCTATCGATGCCACTTTTTTCATCGACATTTTAAAAACCGCGAGTACTATGAACGCATACACAGAATACAAAAGTCCAAAGGAATCGGTATAACGAAGTTATTTTTCAATTTATCTTCGTCACGAAATATTATTTTGATACTCCAATGCAGTAATAGTACGTACAAACAATCTTGTATAACCAATGTCTTTTAATTTTTTACAAAAATGAAGCGAGATCATTCTTTTAATCGATACCTCTTCATAAAATTCACAATTGAGTCTTTTATGATCTCTGATTTCTTGTTGCCTCGTGTTTACACTACTCTCTCCCGCTCGTTTATGTCCCCTTTCGTTTTTCACGGGATTAACTTTAATAGTCACTAGAAAAACTCAATACTGACCGAATATTGAACGTCTTTTGCCATTCGAAACGCGCAGATCCGTTCGACGAGGACGTGTCGCTCCTTTACCCAGACAATCGCGGTGGAAAGTTCCACATGTTTCCCCATACACACTACGAAACGCCGATAATCAAAGGTGTAGTCTGCCAGCTGAAAAAATGGCCAATGGATCTGTTTTTCGCATTTATGACAGCCTGCCTCATAATCGGAACTTTGCTGTTCTTGGTCTTCGTTACGGTGGTTGTTGCCCTTCCTACTATCATTGATAACAGGTGTCGGTATGAACAATAATATCCCACGATAACATTCCATGTGAAGAACTTTGACATTAACCATGAGCAAGAACTTTCGATGTTTCAGAGTGAAAGACATTTCAACCACCAAAATCAATGCTTCGTCCAACGTTTACTTCTTCAAATTGGAGAACCAAAACTGGTCGACTATGGAGTTTTGTTACATAGAAACTGCAGCTCGTAGGCATCCAGGTTTAAATGTAAAAATATAATCGAATGTCTAAGATCGATCCAGTTACTTAACCGATAGTAATACAAACAAATTGCGTAGGTCTATTTGATAAATTTACTGAGAGAGGAGCCTGTTAAAAGAAACTCGAACGAGTGGATTGCAAACAGGGCGAGGCTGAAGTTAAAATTAAATGATTCTGTCGAGAGTAGCTATTTTCCAAAATCAACACCGGAAGAACAGCTCAGGAAACGACTAGCATCTGGGGAAACGAATATAAAGAACGTCAACATTTCGATTGACAAATTCTTCAAAGGGTAAGGTTAAATTAGCAACGTCAATAAGGACTGATTAGTATGTTTAATTTCAAAACGGGCATTCAAATCTGTGTATTATAATAATAAATGATGCGACCTACCGTAATATCATGACACGTACATCACTTCATTTTAAAATTTTGTCGAATAAAAGATCTTGCCATCCATCACTGATTTAGACCATGCTCGCGTTTGATAAATAGTACAAAATCGGGACAAATGCCCACTTAATTCGAGAAATTTTTATTTAGCACGAAACTATCGCATGCTGTGAAAGGTTTGAACGACGAGGTTTTAGAAATGGCGGCGAAAGCACAGCTGCTTTGGACCGTCCCTGGAATAGCTCTCAAACCAAACATGTTCTGTGCTTTGGATTCCATGAAACAGTTTATTTGCAAGTGAGTGTTTCTAAAACCAGAAATCCAGAGAGTTTTCCAAAAGAAACTCGAGGATTTTGTATTTTCATAAAACAGAAATGAAGAGTATACCCTCCTTTGGTTTCATTTTGAATGAAAGTACAAATATCTACGATTAATAATAATTTTCAATAATAAAAAGAACAAAAATATGATAATAACTTATTCACTGCAGAATCCCTCAACAAGAGGAGTAAACATTTTTGAAGGATAATGTCCACCATTATGCTAACAGACTATTTTGTTATTAAAGAATAGAAAACTAAAGCCTTTTTTGGAGAACTGTTTATAGTACCCGCAACAACTAACGTATAAATTTTGTGGAAATCGTCAACCCTCCACAGAGACAAAGACTTATGTCAACCAGACACACTCGCGACAATCGAACTGGAAAACGATATTCAATTAACAGGAGTTCCGTGTCAAGCTTTCATGGGATTTCTCGTACGGGAAATATCGAAAAGGGATCTCACTGGAACATATACGTTAACAGAAGCAGTAAGAAAGTATTGTCCAAGGTAAGATACCCAGCAAATTAAAATAATAATTAATAATTAAATGTAACCAATCGATCATCTAAATGCCTGGATACATTTACGAAGGGAAGAACAACTATTTTGTTCATACTCTAGACAAGTTTGCCATAATAATTATTTATACTTATTTATTTGTTCGTTTTACGTAGTGTTCGTACCAATATATTTTAAATTTCACTAAAATTGCTATTTGAACAACACATAGTAATTACTTTTTATGAATATTACGAGTGCTCTCATTATAACATGTTGGCATTTCTTTACGATCGATATACTCGTCAGAGACAGATGGTTGGTTGAAGCAAAAAGTTAAAAAAAAAAGGTGAATTTAACGTAAAGTACAGAAGTCATACTGTGTTTCACATTATACGACAAAAATTTAGGTAAAGTGAATTTGCAATAAAATGAAGGAAGTCACCCTGTGTTTCAGAATGGACGATTGCCCAGAAATCCGAATTGTCAATTTGAAAACGAAATGTCAGAGGGAGTTTTTAGAATGTCCTATCGTTTACTCGAGCGCTATAAGGCAAGAAGACGCGAATCCTGGAAACATCATGACATGAAACAACGCTTTATTACAAATTCTGTACATGTAGATTATAAAATACAATGCGAACATTGTGGAAGATTTTTTAAATGCGTTTTTCCACCCTTATCCTCGAATCCCTACGATCTTCTAATAGGATTGCTTTCATTTAAACGTTCTTTGCTCGTAGAGACGCAGAACGCCCAGCCATATCCAAATTTCACCAACTAAATGATACAATTTTAACCATTTAACCCATGATATACTAAGAGCTGCATTTTTTAAATAGTTACAAACAATAGTTTATTCGATAGAGAACGTCAAGCTTTTTTTATGTCGTAACTTAAAATCTACCGTCTGTTTCAAATTATAATTGCAATAATAGTCAGCGGAAAGAATATATAACAAAATACTAATAAACTGATATTAGGTCATCATAAACATTCTCTATGTCGAACACTGAGGTATGACGAGTTAACTGACTTTTGTTTTTAAATTTAAAAAATCAAACGTACGTATTAGCAGCGCCGATCCTGTCGCGTAAAACAGAGCAGCTGGTAACGAGCAATTGAAGAGAAATAGAAACATTGCTGCAAGAACAGCACTGACATCGTCCACCAGGTTAGTCAAGTAAAGAATTATCGATGGAAGACTCCAGCATGGTCTTTTCTACAATAATCAATAGACTAATGAAGAGAAACTCTATATATCCCCTTATACTCTAAGCTTTTGGTCATTCAAAGCAGAAACGAAAATATCTCACCGATACGAGAGAATATGCTAGCATACCAGTTGCCAGAAAGGAAATCAAAGAATACGGTACAGAGTAACCTAAGTTCAAAGTGACAACAGCCTTTTGTTTATATCCATGAACGAGCTGACCGCTTTCCAGAACACTGTACTCGGTTTGGCCATAACGAATGCTGTAATAGCTCAATAAGAGCACGCAAGTGGACAATAACAACGCTTGGCAAACTTGCAACACTTCGGTTTCGGAGGTATTCTTCTTGGAAAGCCTTTCGTCCTTCGTTGTTATGCTGGACGAACTCGTTTTAATATTTCGCGGTGGAAATCTATAGTCGACCGCCTGAAAAATGACTCGTATGACAAAATGGATGCTTCTATTAGTTGTACGAATAAATAATCCACTATTTCTTTTCATAACCGTGTAAGGGTGATTTTCAATTCGAGTTTCGTCAAAACAAATCAGTGAGATAAGCATAGTAATATTGATAATGATGGATGCTAGTAAGAAGCACATTCGTTACTATAGTTGTTACGAATTTCAGCAGGTAAAAGCTACAATATGTTCTTTCCTCGATAACAATGCCGCGAGTACACCGAAAAGCTTGGGTAGTAAAATCAATAACCTTTGATGTAGCAAATCGTTTGTCGTTTCTGTTGAACGTTTTCATCTATGGTCTTTTCTAAAATGATCAAAACAGGATAATCTAAATACATGAAAGAGAAAAAAACATGGTAGAGACAAACTATTGGACGGTAAATGGTATATGTATAAATAAATAAAAATTAAAGATGAAAGATATAAGATAAAATAATATAATACAGTGTGAGCGTACAATAGTGATGTGACTAATACCAAATGGACTAGTTTGCTAAATTTGAAAAAATCATTGACAGCGAAAAAATATATGTTACAAACTTGTAAAGTTTAAAGGGATAAGTAATATGATAACTGGTTAACCAACACTGTTCTATGTAAAGTTTACTTATAATTTTCCTTTTTTTAATTCCCAAAGAAGCCTCTCTCTTTAAAAGTTTACTCTAGAATGTATCCTTAAGGATTGAATTATTTAAACATGCGTTGTTAATAAACATCGAATTTGATAAAAGGTTGTGGATTATTTCTTTGTACGTCTAACAAATGTACTAGATATAGTCGAATTCTATTGTTCAGCTCACCGTCGAGTAATTCTCGTGTAGCGTTCGAACTTTCTCAGGGTACTTGTTCATCGTAAGAAATTTTTGTCCTATTTGAGAACCGAAAACGAGGCAAGTGTAGATTGCCTGAAGTGGAACGCAAACGTAAATGTTTCGTCGTTATTCAAATTGTTCGCGGATGACGAACCGTTGCACTTGTAAATTACACTGTATAACCTAGCGAGAAAATTTCGGTGGATGGGAAAATGATCAAGCGTCCGAGCTATGCGAATCGCGGGAGAAATTAGAAAATGGCACGTTGTCGTAAACACTCCCTCTCATCCAGTGTGGCTGCTGTCATCGGAAGCAGTAAACATTCGGTAAGCGTTTGTAACTCGTGTGCATGTATGTGTCGATTTAGGAGGGGGGAAGGCATTCATGTGAAAATCAACTACCAGTAATAATTTCTAAATAAAATTTTGAAAGTACGTATTTTTCTATGGTTATTCGACTGTGAATCAATGATGTAACATCTTTTAAAGAAACGTTGAAAAGAGATAATCCGATCACAAAATTCATACCTTTCTTTGTTCGATACCTTTCAAAGAGTATGTAACCAAAATTTGATTCGGATAACTTGGTTTTTGAAGGAGTCACTTTAATTTAAAGTTCGATAATTTAATGTTGCCTTTAAATAGCAGTGTCCTATGTAGAAATTATTAAAAAAACATTTTTTTTGGATATTGAACATTATTTGAATGTCAAATAATTTTTAAAATATGTAAATTGAAACTCGACCAAAGGGCACTGTAATTTTTCTAGAACCTTTTCCATAACATATTATGAATAAAAAGAATTGTATTGATACTTTTCGTATGTTTACAGATTTTCGACAATAAAATTAGTATTATTTCTCCTTTTGATGATTCTTTACTAAAAGGAATGGTTGTAAAAGCTTACAGTACTATCGTTTATTGTTGTCTGTTGTGTCGATAACATTGGATACTATCTGTCTCCATTTTCCTATTTATAAAACACGTCGTATAATTAGAACGAAATTACTTTTCATGAAATAAGTAATCCTCTGTTTATTGAAGAATTTTTTGATACAACGCACGGAAAGTAAACCATCAATTTTGCAAAAACAATTTGGTATTTATTGTTAGTAGGTTAACGTGACAGCGTCGTGTCCGTCGTAGTGAAAATTAATCGAATCGAACTAAGGAAGATTGAATTATTTGGCGATCTTTTAGATACTTTCGTCGAAGTAATTACGAATTCTGGACGTTCAGTATCTTTGACTTACATCACAAGCCGCGTGTGTTCATAAAATTAATACTGAAAAATACAACGAGTCGCGTAATTAACCTTAACGTGAATTTTGATCAAATTATTGCTATCGTTTAAATCAAGATCAATGAACTATGAGATTTCGAGGTAGACGAAAAACTAGCGAACATAGTGGAGCTTTAGTTAGTCGTTCACTCAATGGAATAAACTTTTAATTAGTTGAATTTGAGAAGTACGTAGATAATATTCATAATTTTTAGCGAATCGGACGACTGGCATGTACCCTGTGCGATCACTATGTCATGGGAAACTCGATCTACGTCATCATGCTGGGCCTCATTGGGACCGTTAGTCGATCGTAATACTCATTAATTCTTTCTGCATAATAGCGTACCGGACGAAGTCACGAATCTACGATATTTACTTTGCGAAAAAGATGAGGAAACGTTGATTCGTGAATTTGGCGATTTTATTTGTTGAATACCAGTTCCGAGTTCATTTTTAACTCTATATTTAAACTATCGGAATAGATACTCTGCTTATCGAGAAATCACTGTGCTAACCTTTGTCCAATCGTTAGGTGATTACGGCATTCGACATCGTTCGAATAATGAACTATAAAAGCCCAGCCAGACCGACGACCGAATGCAGATCCAAGGAAACTGGTAACTACAGACTTCTAAACGCACATTTACAATTTCTAATCTTTAAATCCCAATTCGCAAATTTCAACCTTCGAATTCTATATTGTAAAAATTCAATTCGTGCCAGATTTCGATTTTCTATTCGCCAATTTGAAATAGAAACGTTATTTTAACTTTCTACTAGGACTAAATTTCTCAACAATCACTAGTTCCTTTCTTTAATTTCCTCAGAAGTGAATAGAGACCTGAAACTGATGACTTCGATCCTGGGGATAGAACACTATACTTTAATCATGCTAGGCGCGATCACGGTAAGCCATTCATAAAGCGTTTTCCAAAAAAAGGCTTTGTGTGTGTGTGTGTGTGTTTTTTAATGAAACAAACCCTATAAAATATCTGATTTATATGATATATTTCTATATATTTCTGTTAACACTAAACCTACCCACGACAGGTCAAATGATCGTTTTTAAACGTTTGTGTACAAATGAAATGTCGGTAGCTATAGTGTTAGTATGCCCATCACTAGGGCATCATAAATCCTAAAGCCTCTTTGAGAAAACCCTTTAGCAAGCTGCTTTCTGGATTTAAAGTTTTCGAATGATATTTTTGTAGGAATATCCGATGCTACACACACCCTGGCTGCTAATGCAGCTGTGCGTCATTATCGTTGAAGTAATCGTATTCTGCGTCAGTATGTTTCTGGACGGGCTTCATATGAAACGCGACGAAATATTGCTATCCGTTTTGACCGTGCACAATTGGCTCCAAGTATTCTGCTTGTTTCACACCCAAGCCCGACAATCTCGATAAAAATTCGATAATTGTTCACACGACGAAACCTTTGCAATTCAATCATTAAAATTATTACAAAGTGTATATTGGTACAATAAAACAACTCCAGGTCGTACGTTTGAAATTGCCGATTATACGTTATCGATCGATATCGTTCTTTGTTTGTTACGACTGTCTGTCCAACGGACAGGTAGACGGAATAACCAAAAAATGCTCCAACATGTACGGATAAATACCGAGAAAATTCTGTAAAGATGGTGCTTAAATTAAAGAGGACTGTCAGTCGCTCTTACGCGGAGGACCAAAAGAAAAATGGGAAACAGACGTGTGAGCCTATGTCGAAGGTAAAAGAAAACTGCATCAAGTTCTTTAAAGACTATCTGAAAATCCTGTTGTAATAAATATCGCTTTTATTGTTGTGATTTCGAGAAATGTAAAGTATGGTAACGTTGTCACAGGTTGAAGCACTGTACGTGGCTTTAATTTGTTTTACGACGCATTGCTTGAGTTCGATCTCTTTTGAAGCCGGAAGTCGTGCTTCCTTTGGAACGACAGTAACCAAATCAGCACCCTTTAACGCCCTTTTCCGACGAAGTTTCAGTAATTATAGAGGATTTTTCGAAAGGGGCTAAAGAATTTTGTTTTTTAATCAAGCACAAATTGTAGAATATATCCTCTTTTTTTGTAATCTTAAATGGAAGAACATATGATTACAATTAAACATGAAAGATGATATTCCATATTTAAGTACCCACTGCGACTACGCTGACGTATTTTGATATTAAAAACTAACATTCTGAAGCTCTTTTTAGAAAACGCTTTACTTAAATGATATACTATATCAAGAAGAAACCAAGCATTTATTGCTTCAAGTTGATCGAAAAAACTATATTTTTTTTAGCCTTCTAACACCTTCAAGTGACCTATCTTTTTTTCAATTTTATGTGAACTTTTGATCAAAATCTAGATTTAAACCACTTTTATTATAAATTATACCCTTTGTCAAAATTCGAAGCGAACGGTCACGTTGTTTGCAGATCTGAAGATCGTAATATTCGTGACAAATGTAATCACAGGATTGATAACAACGGGGATGATGATGGCTGGCGATAAGTATGGTATTCCTTATCTGTATTTGCCGTGGTTGATGGATACCATGAGAGGAATAGCCCTGTACGAAGGACCAGCGCTTTTAAACTTGGCCAGCGCACTTCTACCTAACGTGTCGTTTCCTTCAGGGACGTTCGTGTTTACAACATTAATTCTCTATGGTACAAAAATCACGTTTAAGTATGCAATACAGTAGTTAACCATCGTAGCACGAAAGTTAACCAAAAAATGAAAAGAAACACAGTTTAGAAGAAAATTGTTAATCCTGCTGGCACAACTGATAATTTTTCACGCAAATTACTCTGTGGAATTAGACTATAATCATTTTTCCCCTGAATTCTTCATCTAATTGAACTATTCAATCATCTTCCTTCATTTCAAAATATAAACAATATGACGTTTGAATCGATCATTAAATGTTACCAAGGCTTGAGACATAATTATGGGTACACAATTAGTGTAATAATCTGAGAACGTAATGTTGTTACTTTAAATTTACAGCATTTTCATAATGAATGTCTTGTGTGAATATTCATTCAGTTTACCAATTCAACTTTCAAATAAGTCAACAGGTTCATAAGAAAATATTACCTCGTTGTCATTAAAATAGCATTACAGACAAAATGAGCATTCTTTGTAGAAACAAAATTATCGGTTAAGTTTTGTCACATGTAGTTCCAATTCCTACGCCTAAAATAGCGCTAAGCTTGTATTCCAGTCTGAATCGGTAACGTTGAGAGTGACACGGAAATGGTAAAGGCGCCTGCAACCCTCTAATCTAAGAGACTCTAACTCTCATAATTTCCTAATTGTTTTTTAAAGAAAATGGTCACTATTTCAAAATGATACTTCCCAGTTATAAATAAATAAATGTATACAACTCTGAGGGGTACTTAAACAGTACTAAGCCTAATAATGTAATTTTTTTATTTCTCCATTCAATTCTTTGTTTATCATATCGTACTAAGACTGACAAATTAATATCCCACTCCTATAATACTCAAGGAACATGGCAGTAATAATTCATATTCATGGCCGAAGCTTTAGTAGAGATCTAGTGTGTGCATTAGGTTACTTAGGGCAACCCATTAGTAGGCACGCCTTAGTTATAAATAATTACAATTTATTGTGTAAATTGCAGAAACTACTCTGTGTCAAATTTAGGCTCAATTGGATAATAAAAAAATGTGACTCATGAAGTTTTTACATGTAGAACTAAATACAAAGTTATATAAAAAAAATGTAAATTGAGATTTAGTAATAATGAAATTTATTAAAATGCGTGTGAGACAGATATAACCTTTTCAGTTATCTTTCTCTCTTGCTTTATTAACAAGATTCACTTTAAATTCAATGTATAGTTTCGTGAATAAAGGACTAGAAACGTTTATAGAGCAGAATATTTCCGTTTCAGTGGAAGAACTTTGCATTTGGAGCAACGCTTTCACGAATTTCCAACGATGCTGGAAGAATTATCATTACCAGAAGCAATGCGCCGCGACGAAAATCGAAGAGAAATTATTTGTTAAACGCGAACAGAAGATACTTTACCGAGACGAGGAGAAAAATGAATTAAATGTTGTGGAAAAACGGAAAGCTCAACAGAGGTGCGACGAAGTTTGCGGTAAAACTAATAGCAGAAGCTCTACGAATTGTAGTATAAAACCTGTTAAAAGTGCTTTTGAGGGCAACAGTAACTTTATCAAAAATCAATTATGGGATGTAACTGGATAATTAACAACTATTTGAATCTATACAATTTTCGAAATACTCGCTATTCATAATCTAAAAGTATCAATTTCCATGTAGTTTTATATACTGGCATTAATTTTGAATTTAATTTGTTTAACGCCAAAGTCAAACGTGCAACGTGTTCCTTTACTTTCATTTTGAATTACTAAATTACTTAAATAAATTACATTTGAATTACAAATTTAGAGAAATACTACGAATCGAAGTTCGTGACAACGCCAAGTACTTGGCGCCAATCAAAATGGCTGTCGCTTTCGATAATTTGACAATTTGCTACTGAAATTCGACAGTCATTTTCTGGTACGCTTATTCGCGACTATTGTTTACACTAATATCGCATTTTATGGTAATATGAACCGAATGACATATTTCTCACTAGTTATTTAGTAAGAAAAAATATTGATACAAGCTGAAATTCATTCTCCAAGACAAGATTTGAAACCCTCTTTTCGTTTATGTAAAATATTACCAAATCTACTTTACGTTTAGACCTTTATACAGGGTGTCCCAAAAGTCGGGGGCAGGCGGCAGCGTCAATGTCCTACGATGCACGACGGAGTCACTTGTTCGTCTCAGGGACGTACAGAGAACGTTCTGGGAATGTCCACATCGGACGTCCCAAGGACATCCTACGATGTAACTGGGACGTTCCAGGGACGTTCAGGGGACGTTTGGACGTTATCTGTCAGTGTCCAGTACCGGACGTCTTATGGATGTGCATAAGACGTCCCTGAGCTATCTGGGTATCTTGGAAAAATTGCACAACGACGAAGCACCAGACGCAACTTGCCGAAACTGCGCAGACCAATGGAGGGACGCTGCGCATTCGATACGTTCTCAACGCACAGATCGCGAATATCGATGTATGTCGATCGATCATCAGAATAAATTATTCATACAATTTTTACATAGTGTAAACCAACCTAACATTAAACCACATACACGTTACCGATTCTATCGTAATAGCAGAAATCAAGAAGAAATAGAAATTTTATATCTCAGATCTCAAATAACATTTACACAACAACGAAAAGTTCGATATACATCGAACTGATTTTGTTGCAAAACACGTTCATCGAAATTCACCGGTGACAAAGATAATAATACTCAAAGAAGGCAATGATTTTACTAGTTTTAATTCTATTTTTTAAGACGTAACTGAAGTGTATATTTGCGTTATAAAAATTAATTGAATACAAACGATTGTATTTCTAAAATAAACGTATCCCGCTTCAAGGAGAGAAATGGCGGTAAAACGAAGACGCATGCGCGTCAGATGTTTCGTTCACATCGATGCTGGCAGCAGCGCTGTGCTCTTGTGTGCTTGACGCTCGCACAAGTTATACGCGTGCCGGTAATAAACCGTTGTTAGGCATAACGGTCGTTCTATTCGATCTTCCTTGCTCTTTGTACATAAATTTAATCGTAACTGTTAAACCAAAGGTCGTGATACACGAAATTTTGCGCGTAATAGTCGGAAGAAATAGTGAAAGTGTGTCTATTGCTAAGAAAGCGTCAAACCTCGAGTAATTCGAACGAAATAAAGGTACGTACATATCGTTCACATTCCACGTGCATTATTGTTCTCTTCTATCTTGTGTTATGGTCGCTAAATGTCTTGTTTGGAATAAATATATTAAGAAAACGAGACGTTTTGCAAGTTCGCGAAATAAGGTTGCTCTTGTTCGAACATTTTTAACGCGTAATATCGTTCGTAACCCGCAGTTTATTTTTGTACATACATTCTCGAGTTCCAATGAGTTCACGCTTCTACTACCTTTGTTGTTTACTACCACAAAAAATATAATCTGTTTGAATCCGTGAACAGACGTGACGTGTTAGTACGCGCGTGTGTAAGGATAGTATTGAACACAATGTGTCGCATATCCCGCGTTACGTACACTAATAACGACCGATCACGTGTCCCGTATTCAAGTATTTGCATCGCACAAGACATTGTGTATGTGTTCGCTCATGAGATCCATATTTTTGCGAAGCTGTTGTGAAACATAACCTTTCTATGGCACAAAATTACGATTTGCAACTCCAATTTTAAACGTCTACTGTGTAACCGATGTAGGTGAAAGCATCCATTGTATGCAGGGAAAGTCAAGGGTATCTGTATTGTTTATTCATAGCTCATTCTTTTTATTGCATTTATGGTACATTAATTTCGATATAACAAATAACAAGGATCAGGTAAAAAATATGACAAAAAAATTCGTTTTGTTTTAAATAAACACTCGGAGAAAAGTTTTGCTAACATATTCAGATTTCCTTTTCTTGTTTTATCGTTGAACTAGCAAAACTTGATCCCCAAGTATGATAGGTACTCTTCTTTGAAGCATCTATGTTTTCCTTAAATCTTAATGGACGAATTGCAATTCACAATCCTTTATATTCGATACATTTTTATTGGCATATATCCTCCTTTTTGCTATAACAAGTCGTAGCAAAAGCTATAATCTTCTTGCAGACACGCATATCGTTGCTTACATTGGCTCGAACAAGTTTACTTCTATACTATGCATATTACAAACATGCTTATCTCTCTAATAGTAAGGCGATCGAATTATACTATAGGCATCTATCTTATATTATGCTTTGTATTTAAATTTCCAAGCAAAATTTTAACAAATATATCTTTGGCTTCTAAAATACGTAAGATTACTTCAAATCCAATTAAACGAAATCTTGCGTAAACATATAAGTTTCTATTAACTTTGTAATAAATCTAAATATACAGACTAGAACAAGTAAGATTTTGTTAGTTTTGTATTAATTGACTAATTTGACTGCAAATTAAACCCGAGGTAAACATGTATATTGTTCTGCACTGTTCTAGATATCGTAATACAATACTATTGCAATCAAAAGTAAATCTTACCTTTCTTCTAAATGATATTTTGTATTCATGTATCTGTAAATGTTTACTTTTATCGTAAGGATTCATACGAAAAGAAGGTCTTCAGATTATACAAAGACTCAGGTACAACAGAAGTACGTGAAAACTTGTAGAAAACGTACAAAACTTTAAAATATAAGAAACTTAATGATAGAACATTCGATACATAGAAGTTTTGTATGGTTTACAAACAGAATCTCATACAACACTTCTTCGCTTGCAGTTCTTTACTCAATCATTTATATTTTTTTTGTCAGAGACTAGAAATTACTTGGTAAATTGTATAAAATGTGTTCAGTGCAATGGACAATAATTGTACTCCTCATCATGCCTTACTCAAATTCTTGACAGGTTCGATAAAGTCAACAAACAGCAGTATGCAACCCATACTGCCTGCTAGTAAATGCGAAATAGTTTTGCCTTCAAGGTGGTCGTTTTGAATCGCCATTACATTTCTGGATAAAAGTACCTGCACAATGTGTCTCGATGTCGAACTCCAATGTTAAATTACACTTTGCTTCAATATCAATGTTCCTAAATCGCTTAAGTTCTCTAAATATGATTTACTTTCTTCGTTAATTTTTTTCCCAATGTTTAATCGATTAATTGGTTGAATTTTCGTATTGCTTCTATTTTAGTTTATCTTAAATTTAGAACCAACATCACCGCAAAGTCAGAAAGAACATTTTTTTTTCTTCGTTGAAGCACCCAAAAAGGGGCTTCGACATCGAAACGCTTTATCATAACTCTTGGAAACGACCTTAAACCTCGAAGGCCTCCCACTGCTACGCTATCATAGCAGCGATAGGGCTGAAACGCATTATTTTGCTGAGCATAATCCACGCCACCGAGGCAAGGGCGCAAAGCGTGACGCCACCCCATCCGAAGTCCATGCTCCAGGAGCTGTTGAATCGTCTGGCCTTGAGGACACTGCGTGGAGCCGGTCCACCGATTACACCATCCTCAGGGCCGTCCAGTATTCGCGCTCCGCGATCCTGGGCTCTCTTGAAATGAATTATCGTCAGGGTGAACAACGCGAACGTGGCTGGAACAATTGTTCAAAATCAGAAATATTCTTCGATCTCATACTGGCGCAACAAGATTTAAAATGAATCCTTTTTGTTTTAATTAGAGAATTTCGTTATTAAAAAGAAATCTCGGGATTTCAGTCTGGGAGTGTCTTATCAGCGATAAGAAATATTTGCCTTTTATCGCACAGCCAATAAAACCACAAGCGTATAGAATAAGGCTCCGGTGGAGTAAGAAAACACTTTGGCTTATTCGTGCAAAGTTATTCAAACTATATCGACCCCCTTTCAATACAACTTTAAACAAATTTACTTTATACTACAGTTGAGTGCAGTATTCAACAGAGAAATGGAAATTAAATGGTTCTGATTATTGGGTTCGGGCACTTCGTTGCTCTTCTGTGTAAAATAAATAATGCAATATTTTATGCAGAATGTTCACACACTCCTTGTAAATATTTCAGATGTTTCTACAGAATAAAAATGAGACAAAAGTGAAGAAAGACGAAATTACATTTCGAGCTTTGATCTATAAAAGGATTGTAATCAAGAAAATTTTCAATTTTTTTTTTTTTTTTTTTTTTTTTTTTTTTTTTTTTAACACTTAAGATTTACTGATTAAGTTTTAACTAATTAAAAAAATGCATTCGCGGAGTATGCGTTTGAAACTTTATATTTAAGATTTATATTATCATCACAAAATCTGACCGCATTTTGAATTTAAATTTTAAAAAGTGTTTCAAATAAATCTGAAAGAGAATTAAATTTTACGTACCAAATTTAAGGAAATCTCAACTTTTCACGTACATTCAGTAATTAATAACAAACGCAAAGCCTCAAACGTAATATCGTCTTATTTTCGCCTGTAGAAAGATCTCCCAAAATATTACCCCCAAACAGTAAGTCAATATTCTGTGTACATCGCGAAGAACAAAAACAATTCTTATAGGTAGATACGATACGATACGAATCTTTTGACAGTGTCTGATGACAGTGTTCACCGTAGGTTCTATTCTCACTGGAAACGTGTAACTTTATAACAGCGTTTAACGTTTTCCCTTGTAAAGAACCGTTTATTTTGCGGTTGACTTCGCGAGTGCTTAGGAATCCTTGCGGTTGCCGAGTTTGTCGACTGCAACCGCGGTACGTTGGTACCGTTGAAGTGTATTCGGTTAACGCAATTACGTCCGTGACGATGTTATCCGTCGAGTTTTCCAACGAAACCACGGATCAACGTTGACAAACTTACCCGCCAAAAGGTACATCACGCCGGTAACGAGAACTGCCGATATTTGATGCCTGCACAATCCAAAAAAGCCAATCAGAACAGCGGTGCTCAGAATAATCAGGCAAACTAGAGAACAGGAAATACTCAAATTCTGCATCCCTGGAAAGAAAGATGAACATCCGCCGTTTAAGATGAACCTTTTACGTCGTTAGAGCGATTTTCGATAAATCTCTCCGTAGTAACGAGGGATTCTGAACCAAAAACTATGTATGTGCTATAAGTTTCGTGTGTTCCTAAGGATTCTCTTCGGGGTACTCGAAGCTGCGAAAGCTGCGAAAGCTTCGAAGTAAGTAATCTCCAAAGTAAACCCATCTACGTATAATGCGGTCTACTATATGGAGTATGTTTTAGGTCATTAACTAGGACATTTTGTGGTACTGAGCGAGTTCGATAACGTTTGTTAGCTAACCACGAAAGTGTATTTTACTATGTTTTGACTAAAGTCTTTGCTTTCAAAATAGTATACAGACAGCGGTATAATCAGAATGTCTTTGAAGGGCCAGCTTGTTTGACGAGAACTTTAGTCATCATTTTTTATATATATTAGGAGCACTACAGTTCAAACTTTGGTGACATTTCAGTAGGTCTTACATCACCTTCATAGGTAGCTAATATTTTAGTATCAAAGGAGTTTAGCATTTACCAGCCAATAATGAGGTCGTAATCTACTGTTATGTTTTGATTACTCGTGTTTATAAGGTTTTGTCCTAAGTTATCTAACAAGAATCTATGGTCCTAAACAAGCGTGACATTTGTTAGTTGTTGATAACTTTTCTTGAATTATAATTTCATTATGACTGTTCCCGTTAAACAATATTTAACATAACTGTAGGGTAGAATATCTGATACTAGAATGTAGCACTATAGAAAGGGAAAATTGAGAACACATTCATATAATTTTATTTAGAAAATAATTATTAACCCATTTTTACTGTTAAGGACAAAAAAAAAGTACATAGAAAATCCGTGACTGGAAACACGTAATTTTTTTTTGTAATTTTAGAATTTGTACAATAATAATATAATATTGCAATGTATTAAACGAATCTTGAAGTTTATTTTAACTTGAAAATTTGGTTTGTGAGGAGAGTATTTTAACTTGTACCGTATGAATTTTATTTGTAACCATCACAATGCAACACGCGAATAGGCCTTTGAATGGCGAGGATCGGCGAAATACGAGAAAAAAAAGAACAAAAGACGTTGTACTCACGATTTTGCCAGGCGGCACGGATCTCTTCATGTGCTTCGTCAGGCGACAAGTAGTTAATGCACCTCCCTTGCGGAAAACCTACCTGACCCAGAAGTCGTATTTCCTCCTCTGAAATGTGAGAAGTGATAAAGAAATGTAATCTTGACGCGTTTCAACTTGGCAAAACGACACCAAACAAATATTTTCGACTGGTACTGCTTTCGTTAACCCTTTCTAATTTCAACAGTGTTTCTAAAAGCGTCTTTTCGCGCTGCAAAATTGGAAACGTTGAGTCTATATTCATGCATTCCTTTATATTAAACTGGCTAGGTCAACGTATACCTATTATACGTACATACTAGTGTATTAATTTACAAGTTTACATCTTTTAGTTCTTCTACACCAGTTATATAAAATTCGTAAGATTTCTTGTTAAATTACATATCTCTTATATATGTCGCCAAGGAATTTTTCTCAATGATTTCTTCAATGCGAAAGTCTCTAGAGTTGTAATTATCGAATTAATTTTGAATCGATAGAATAAAATCTCCTCGAAAAAGATATAACGAGAGTGCATGTAGGTGTTACGAATGATTAATTGGTTTTCATTTATGTAAGTTTCTGGTTCAATTGCGATTGAAAAACGAACGCGCAAAGCACCACTTCCGATCGGAGTTATTGGTTGACCTTAATTTGAGGGGTAATCACGAATTTTTATCTGCATGTAGATGTCTCGTTCGCAGGAAGCTTTACGTATGACCAATTAACTAGCTACTTTTGATGGATGGTCGATTAACTTGAGCCACGAGCCCGGAATAGTTGAAGCGTGAGATTCGATATCAAATACCGAATAGTATCGGTTCGATGAAGAAGACGAACTTGAACGTGAATTTCCGTGAAATGTCAGGAAGAGGAACGGGAGTCGTCGAGGCCGCGGAAACTTGGTGAATTGAGTAATAATAAATTTCGAAGCAGAAATAGATCGGCGCAAGTTCACTGGGTCTAGGTTACTCCTACAAACTTGCACGCTTGTTAGAAACTCCGATAACCCTTCAGTATCCACTTGTGATATTATTTAACGAAGGAGCACTTTCAGCCAACGATAGACAAAATTTTCTTCAAATAACGAATAACTTATAGAAATCCTGTACAGCAATTTATTCGCAACGTTTATTTTAGTGAACAATTATTCGAATAAATTTTCATTCATTCAATTTGGAATATAAGATCGAATTTTTCTATATCATAGAATTCACACTGCAACTTTTATTGAACAAGTGACGGATTCTAACTTATTGCTCTGCTATTCAAATAAATGTAGGAAATATACCTACAAATGTTACAAGAAAATGTAATCACCCTTTCTTTCTACGATCTTTCCTCTTTGACAAAGTCATTGTACCGCCGCTATAAAATTCCTATAATTTTGTTGTTAAATATAAACACAATGTATGGCACGAACATATGGGATGACCTAATAGATAATCACCTTTTTAAGTTCGCTATGGCTGTATAGAAAATTCTAGACTGTAATTTATCGTTACATGTAGTACATGAAACAGAGAATTTTCATTTGACGAAAGACGAATATTATTAATTTTATTAAAGCCTATCTCGACGTGTGGTCTAACTTAATTTTATACAAGATAGTCTACACTTTCTATCATTTATACCTCATGTAAAAAAACGTTGCACAGCCGAATATAACATTAGATTCGTAATTGAAATGAATTCTAACTACAGACTTAAAAGTTTTAACTCCTCGAAGATATCGAATATACAAGTTACTCTTTTACACAAATTCCGAATGGTTTTTTTTTATAAAAGATATCATTTTGTATTCATTTTTTTCAGTAGTGTAATATTCCATCAAAAGCCATAATAAGTTTGTTTAAAAAATTTCCTTGCATCTCTAATAATATCTAAGGTAGCATTACGGGGTAGTTTCGCCCCTTCGACTCAAGTTTCTAGCACTAAATAAAAATGTATCCCTTATCTTTAATCATTTCGTGTAAAGTTTTATCAATTTTACTTGTGTCGAATCCCATGATTCAGTCTGCGAATGAGCTGTAGTGAGAAGTGTGTGAGAAGTTCTGCTTTACTGCACCAGAAAATTACCTATCGCTTTGATAAGGTTGTTTATATACCATACGCGTCAGATGGCAGTTACAACGCTTCTATGTATTTTCAAGCTTTTTCTTTTTGCATTTGCAAGGCAACGGGAAAGAGACGATTGAGATGTAAATTGTGCACACACACACACACGTGAGAATTCGCTGTAGTCACAAAATTGCCTCGGGATTTATGTGTTTAGACTTATTGACTGTTTTTCATGGAAAGGTCGAGCAGCAACGAGACATGTGCATAGGCTGCTTTGGATAGCGTTCCGTGCTTGGCGTGACCAGGTACCATCAGAGAGAGTTTTCCAAAAAATAAACGAACAAATTATTCAGACACACGCGTGACTCTAATTTCTCAAACGTTTTCGAAGGTCAGGTGTATCTCACGAGAACAAGCCGCATTAACTACTGCAAAGTGGACGGAATAACTGTACAAAGATTTGCGAAAATTCTATTACGTACGAATACACACAGAAGAAGGCACAGGCTTCTGAAAACAATAGGTAGATTGTCTGGTCCTATTCGTCTTTCTTTACTGTGATTTCTATATCTCACGCTTTCGAGCTTGAATGGGAGGACTCGACTCTCGAACTCAGATATTTGACAAGCACATTTGAACGTAATTCATCTAAACAGTTGAAACAGTTTTGATGTCGGTGTTCTTTTTTTTAATACTCTTCTCTTTAAGTCACATCTTGAAAATGTATACACTTATGTTTATATCTCGAAAACGGTATAAGCTAAAAGGTGTAGAAATTTTGCATACAGCCTTATTTCGTATGACAGTATATAAATAAATATTTATTTTGTATTCTTCATTATATCTGCAAGGGAGTATTATTCTTTATGTTCGAGATTTATTTGATGAGAATACTTCCAATCACAACCATATTCAACCTATTTTTGATTATACGTAATTGAACATTTTTCGGACATATTTACAACAAACTATGATTAGAAACAACTTCAATTGACTTTGAGTTCAAAAGGGTATGACATAAACACAAGTTTTTCAATGTTCACACTTGTATCCATATTTCAAAGTAAGAAATGAATTTTGCGAGTGTTGATATCGTTCATTGCATATCTAAAGACTATACAAAAATAAAAATGTAGAAGTTGCCTGTAACAACAAAGTTAACGAAATAATATTTATCGAAAACGAACAAATAAATACGATGTACGTTGAGGGTAACTTATTTAAAACTCCATTCAATACAAGGCCACACACTTCTATTATTATACTCTTTACGCATACAATAATCGATATAATCTTTCGCAAAATACACTTTTTACTTTCAAGTATGCATAAAAACGGGTAAATTCAAGCATTTGCTTACTACTTCGTTTCGTTGAAAGTATTCGCATACATTTCACCGGTTTCCAAGCGAGCACGAAAGCCTTCCGATACAATTGATGCATCGATTCTACGCTCGTTATCCGAAACTCAATTTCCAGAAGTTTTTCGAGCTTGCGAAGCTCGAATGGCAGAAATTTAAGGTTTCGAGACTTCGGACGTTTTAATGAATCCATTGGAAGGTGGTTAAACGTGGAACGTGAAGGATTGAAATAGTAGTTGCGGTTCTCGTGCTCCAGCCCTAACCCCCCTGGTCCCCGCCCTTCAACATTCTCAATGAAGTGAGAAAATTGAACGATCAGAATCTATAATCAACGATGATTGCACGCCTACAGATGCAAAGATGCGATCGTCGGGTGCCAGCGTAGCTGTTCGCGAAAGAAACGTCGAACTTTTCGCCTCGTCGGGAATTTTTTCAATTAAACGTTGGACAACGTCATCGCTCTTGACGTAACGCTCGGAAACGATTTCATTACTCGCCGCGTTGCAAATTTCGTCGTTCCGAATCCGCCGTTGCAGAAAGATACGCGATAAATTCGTCGTGGAATTACAGTATTTAACGAGGACACTTAGCGAAGGTTAACGAATCGTTTTCTTCGATGCTAAATAATTGAAATTATAAGTTCGAAAACAACGCTAGTCCAGATTTCAGTCAGGTGTGTCTCGTAGGAAATGATAAGAAATTGTAGTCTTATCGAGGTGTAGTAGTACGGTATTGGTCACCGCTATGATTGATTTTACCTTCTCGGATCCATGGTGAAAAGTTACCAACACTATTTTTTTTTTTTTTTGTTGCGATAGACTCGTTAGCTGTAGTTGCCAAGAGTCGTGGATTTAAATCTCAGTTGACCAGGCGCGGAATAGCTTTAAAACAGATTAAGAGGGTGGAAAAGTGTTGGTTTATCTTAGGTGCAGTCAACCCCACATAACGTAATTAATTTGTACTGCGTTATAAGAAATTAGGATTTGTACAAAATAGAGCAATTACATTCTCGTTATAAGGCACTCAGGATTAGCACAAAGTAGAACAATTTATACCTTGTTATAAGGCACTCAGGATTAATACAAAATGTAAGAAATCGTACCTCGTTGTAAGAAATTCAGGATCAGTACAAAACAGAACAATTCGCACCTCGTTATAAGGCCCTCAGGACTAGTACAAAGTAGAACAATTACTATCGCATTATATGAGAGCTTTCGCAATTTTTGCGCAATATGGAAACCACTTTCTAGGAGAGTTTACTGTATCGACCGTTTTCGAGGTTTCTAATAGACGCAGTGTCAAGCCGCACCCTAAAGAAACTTCGAGGTTCCCGTGGCCATTGAGTTTCACTAGTTCGGAGATCAAGCTTCTCGCGACGTTTCTCCCACGCTAATAATTTTCAATTGCGATTTCCGATCAGACTGTCAGGTAATATTTTCTTCTAGTCAAGTAAATTTTACAAGACTTATTATATTCAACATTATTTGACGAACTTAGAAATAAACAAAATATTATTAACGAAAAGCTGAGCACGCGAAGTAAGGCTTGATTGTGGACGTAAATTGATTGAAAAGAAAGTAAACAAAACAAGAATACAAGGAAAATAGCTTGATGATGAATATACACTGCGACAGAATGCGCAAAATTCTTACCCAGATAAATAGTTCGAATAACGAATAAATGATACAGATCTTTCCATCTGTTACTCGTTGAATAAATATTTGAAATGGATTTATTAAGAGGGTACTCTTTCTTTGAACCAGTTTCGTATCAATTGTCATGATTACTTTGCAGCTGAAGTACTTGACATAAACTTTTCAAATTTGGTATTAAAACTAATTTTGTTTTGTTTGTTATAAATGTGATTATAGCGTGAAGTAAGGAAAAAAGTTCCAAAAAAAAAATTGATTAAATGGCGGCTCATTTAATTTAAATTTGCAATTTTTTCCATAGCATTTGTGTCTTTCACTCGAAATAAACAGTAATTTTTAAGATATCAAAAATATCATCGTTCGCGCCATAATTAGAAGCGTACTTTGTATGCACGCAAAGTTTGAACTCGATCAGAAATGTGGTTTTTAAGATATCGTGGTAACATATTTCTAAAACAGAGTTTTAAGCGATAAGAACAAAAAAGAATGTATTTTTTTTGACCCAGAAAAAAGGAGTAACCCTTTAAATAAAATATATCACAGTGACGTATAACAGTTGATTGGAATCAGCGTTGCAAATAAATTGCCGTACGATTCCTTTTTTCGTAATTTATTGTTTAAATCAAATTTCGCCCATCTCTGCACCGCGGGCGGAAACGTTGCGGTGCAGAGCGCGTCCTGTGACCTCCGTCCTCACGCTTAAAAATAACGCTGCATAGCTCTCATCCTCGCGTTTTAAAGTAATGAAACAAATGCACAGCTGCGATTAGCAACCCTGAGTTCCTTTGATCATTTTAACGCTTTCCCTTGTGTTTTGACATCACAGGAGAGAAAAGATACGAGTAATTGAAGGCTTCCGCGTCACTTTTTACGCCCACGTTATGTTAATTTTGAAAAACAACCTAGCAACCACTACAAATGAACGCGATCGATTCAGAGCAGCAACGTTGGAAGTATTTTCTCTGGCATAAAAATAATCATCACACGGGTTTTAATTTTACGCTACTCTTTCGCAAAATGAAGTGAATATAGATAGACCCCCTTCTGCATAGGCTTAATCAATAAACAGTAAACTGTCTCGCTACTCACACCTTCCAAGTAATATAAAAATGGTAATCCTTTTTTTTTTGTTCGAAGAGAGAAAAATCGAATTCTGAAACTTCTTCAAGAAAACCTAATTTTAAAGGAACAATGCCTGAAATTAATAAATAAATTATGATGTATCTCTCAGTCTTTCTGTTATATCACCTTCTCTGATTACAGAATTGTTATCACTGCCTCTTTTATTAAAATTTTTATATTCTCATACTACTTTTCCATGATTAGCAATCAATTGTTTAGAACGTTCTCTCTTAAGCTTCAGTTTTCTTTGAAAAAGTGTTATACAATAAAGTAGCAAATTGCTTTATGTGACTACCAAATGATGTATTGCATTTTACACCTTCAAAGTGACTTCTTATCTGTTGGTCTTGGAAAAAAAGTCACCGTTCGAGTTGACTGTTTACGGAAATATTAATACCATATCTCTTCGACTCGGAATAATATGTGCTAAAAATCGAAGCAGCTTCTTCCATCAACGACGAATGAAAATCATTTTGAGTTGAATATACGCGAATAAAACTTGAGCGAAAAATACCGTGAAATGCGTACAGTAAGTCCCACTTTCAAGTGATTAGATCGGAACCACCGTTTTACTTGAACGTATGATAGGCAACGAGATTAAATAATAAGTAAACATAAAGGACCGATATATTTATTGTAAAAAAATGTCCATTTGAAAATTTGATTATGTAGCTCGTTCGTTCCTTTTCAAGTGAACGCATTAATTTTCATCGTTAACCGTTTGAGCGGTGCGAATGTACATTTCACATTTGTACCTCAGTCGATTTATTGTAGTATACAATTGCGTTTTGACTTTTGCACCAAAGCAGTACTTTAATTTACATCTGGCCTTGCTACTTTTACGTGTTCCTATTTAGTCGCCGTGTGTTTGTTGCACATTGGGGAATCGCTTTCAGTTGTAGGAGAATTACGAACTAGTGTTTGGAGAACTGATGGTCGAAGGGTCGAAGAGCGAAAGTGATTGTCACGAACTTTCAGCAAAGGAACGTCCAAGATGTTCACGGTCACGGCATTCTTGGGGCAGACAGGGCGATGTTTCAGATCCTAATCGACTGGTCGATAGCTTGGTCAGAGTCAAGGTGGTATCCACGTATAGAATGCATTCAAACAGCACCGCCTCGTTCTAGATACATCGGTACGATTACGTGAAAATGGTATGCACACGTGTGTTATTTAGAACGCGCTCTATGAGCGAATTTCCATGAACGTCAGCTGAACAAACACCGAATTGTACTTGTAGATTCCAAAACTTGTACAGGAACAAAATTCTGATCGCACAAACTTTCAAAGTACGTATAAGTTAACATCAGCCTGGATTAGTATCTAATATAGATTCCGAAGTATTGCCTCTATGTCTCTTAAAGAAATTTGTCTAAATAAAATGATAGATTTGACGTTCCATTATAAATATCTACACGGATAAACTTTACACTTGTATGTATTTATAATGAAAAATTTACTTGAAAACTTCAAGCCGATCACTTAATTTAGACAAATTTCTTTAATAGATATAAACGGATATTTGTGGGACTGACTGTATTAGTGTAGAAAATCCTCTTCTAAAAATAGTGTTACGAAATAACCGGTTCGATTAATGTCTTGTCCATATTTTTTTTCTGCAATGTGATCTAAAAGACATCGAATGGACGAATGTGTATAACGTTTAATTCAATAGGAGCCAATTTTGTCTACAAACCGATATGACTGGAAAGCAATTTGCCACGAGTCCAGTTGTCGTTCGACATAATTGTTAGTTCGAAATCAGTTCAAAGCTGCCGATAACGCGAATCACGCCAATTCCTTTTATACTTCGGAGTGGGTATTCGTGGTTACGTCTCTGACGATAAAATATGACCTATCGGCGAAGGGAAGTTATAAGAGCAGCTAGTGGTCTCACTAAATTATGGAAATTGTCCAAGCAAGCTTGTCAATGGGCAAGTTTGAGCAACGCTGGCTTTTAAGATTTCTTTTCTCTGACTATCCTCAATTTAAGGAACCAAACTACCTAGAAATTAATGTTGGCCTAGATTTAATGTACATACAACATTGAAGAAGATACTCTTTTGAGATATAAACTGTTTCTAAATAAGGTGGTGTAATTCCTACGACCACAGCTAGTGTGCACACGCTGTTAACACGTTGATCGCCATGTCACCCATATGTGGGTGACAGTGTTTTTCACTCAAGAACTAGAAAGATTAATTCTGAAAGTTAGACGTCACAGGAGATGAATCTAAACAAAGTTCTTGAATTTTGATGTAATTACAAAACTAAATACCACGATAAATGTTTCATTACCTAGACTTCGATAGTCTAAATAATATTTAATCTTAGCAGAAATTTTCAAAAATATTCGTTTGGCAGTAAACGTGTTAAAGTGAAATATGTTCATAAAAATTGGAGAAACAGTGTCGTAGAACGTTGCATGAATCGTTTACAACGATCACTTACCCGCAAGGGAGACGCACATGATCCAAATGCCGCCGTACATTGGCACGAGGAAGGTGGGTCGTCTGCCCGGATGATGATTTCTATGGCCGGAAACAGGACCCACCATCGCTACCTGCCCGTCCAAGTACCACGTGAGAGTAACGTTCGCGTGGGTCAAGACCTCCTTATCCCAGGCCACTTCCTCCCAATGGTCCGACATTATGGCACCGCATAACAGTCCGGTCGCTGGAACAGAGAAGACGAGGGTTCTCCGTAAAAAAGTGCCGCTATTACGTTCTGCGGGGTGTTTGGTTTAAATCGGAATTGTTACGTATCTCATGAGGGGATGAAGCTACCAAAAAATGTTTTCACAAAATCTATTTGGCTCCAATTTAAAGTTTTCTATTACAATAAATAACCATATATTCTGGGTTGATGAATTTGTCTAAACAAACGCAATTATAACATGGATAAAAATATATAAGATTCCATTTAAAAAAAAATTAATTTATTTTTCGAATCTCCCTCACTACTTTACTTACAACAAAAATATTTGCTCCATATAAATTGTCAATTTTAACCAAATAACATTTGTAGAAACATTTTTTTGGTAATTTCATTCTCTCACGAGATGTATAATCGAAACATCCTGTACATCTCGCTACTCGATGCCGTCTCCTTTGCGTCAGAGTGTCCTCGATATTCGGAGCTCCTGAAAGACGGCGATCGAACCTCCGGCGATATGCATGGTAATGAAACAGTGTCCGGAAGAGTTACGCAATCAACGACTATTCCTTTGAAGTGGCTGAAAGGATCTTCGACAAGGAACGTGAAGAACGGTGAGAAAATTATCCTACCAATGGTCTCGAGATATACGTTTTCAGAGATCCGCGATGAACGTTCGGTGTTTCAATATTTACGAAGCACTCGGTCACCTGGGTCTTGGAAGGACTTTGTAGGTCTAGAAGTAGCTAAAAGGAAGAAAGCTGAAGAGTCGCCCTACCTTTACCTTAGTCTACCTTTCGACAAACTCTTGGAGAGTTAAACACCTACTCCCTATTACGACTGTCAATTTTTGAAAAAGATAGGGGTAGGAGAAATCCAAATTGAACCCTCCAGTCTGGTTAATCGACTATCGAAGGCATAGTACAAATTTGCTCGACAAATTCTAAACACGGGGAGAAGATAAATGCTCAAACATACTACACTGCTGAAACAAGCATCGTTTTCTCTGAAAATTTAATCGAACGAATTTCTTGTAAAAGAGTACGTTCACGATCTTCTTCCAATTCTGTTGCGACAGATTAAAGGGATGAATAGCACAAGGTTGGTCGAGATCGATGACGATAAACGAGAATTTCAGCGTTTAGTACTTGCCACGAGGACAAGTCGATAAAAGGCATCGTTTTATAGGCGCCACCGCTCGATTGTGTGCGTACGTGTCATGGAAAATTGTATCGTGTAAGAAATCTAGTAACGAGGGCCCTCGAGTATAATAGAGCACAGAGGAATACTTGTTTCGAGTGTTCGTGTCCTCCTAGTGAGAAAGTACACGGTGCAACGAGTTCAACCGGTGGTTGCTGACCGTGCTGCCAGAAGTTTTGAAACGATAAAGAAAAGACGCTAACGAGCTCCATGACGACAACGCGCGAGAGGCTCGATTGCAACGCGGAAACGACTAAACGAGCCTCGAAAAATACATTATGATCTCGTCGATCGTTGAAGAGAAGAAGAAGTAATATAGAAAAGTAACATAGGAAAGCGTATATTTACATCAGTCGCTGTGCGATCGCATTGTTTACCTAAATGTACGATTGGAAGCGCACCGCGAAGGCTAGAGATTACAAGCCCGCAAGGATAGATTTCATCTACATAAACGGTAGGTCTCTCGATACAGAACAGATATTATAACGTTTTGTTTCAAGCATGTAGCGGAGGCAACGTTGCCCACGTGCTCTGGGACATCGATTCTGCTCCCCTCGATTATCCGCTGCTTTGCGGAAGCTTTGAATACAATAATTAATCAGCACATTGATAGGAATGTGCATCGATTGTCCGTTGACACTATGAAACGAAGGTGCACACACACTGTTCGAAGAGCAACTGAGATCTCCCAAAGTAGATAATCACTGTCGAACACCAAGACAAAATGTTATTCCGTCAAATATTATGTTATCGTTGCTAATTTTGTTCTCCAAAGTTATCCAGACGCGTGATCTATCTCTTCGAACATTGCGGAAAAGAAGCCTACGCAACCCTTCGAATCAGCTGATCGCGTAGCGAAGAACTCCCCGTACGCGAACGAATTAAAAATATAGCGAAACGAAGTTCTTTTTCGAAAGAAATTCCCTCCATTCTGTTCAACGTGCACAAACACAACAATTGTTCCTAGCAATAAATTTATTACGTAAGATTGCCCGTGAACCGCGTGCCGGCGAGAAGCAACGGATCCAAACAAAAACACAGCCGACGCGAGAGAAATAAAAGATGATCGAGAATCTGAAGTCGAAGTCAAGATGAGGATTACCTGCGAAAGTGAGGGCAAGCGTGGCAACGAGGAAAACGAGACGCGGACCAGGGGCCCTGGGTACACGGGTAGGCTCCATCCATGCAGGTGGTGCCCAGGGCGACCGCTGGCAGCCCACTGAATCCCGCACACCGCACCGACAGTCGCTAGTTACGCACTGACCAATCGACACCCCCAGAGATCGTCTGTTTTCGGCGAGTCTCCGCCACGACGAGGGGGGCAAACGACCAGGACGCCCTCTCCGTTCTGCGTCGAAGCGCACGAAAATCGACCGACGTACCACCCAACCGACCACCCCACCCGGATGCTGCGGACAACCCTCTTCTGCTTCTCTCCAGCCCTTTCTGTTCCTCGTTTCTTTTTCCTTCTTTCCTTCCACGATTCGATTCTACTCCCTTCGTCGAACTGTCCCTCTTCCTCTTCTTCGACGATGATTAGACACGGTCAACGTACCATAGTCCTCTTCTGCCGCATCATCTTGCGCAGAATATATGTTAACTGAGTCTGATTTCCCGTACGTTCCCATTGCGGATGGTTTAGTCTTCCTCCACTTGGTTACCAGTCTCTTGACCTAATCACTCTCGCGCATTTCGAGTAGTTTTCTCGATTTCCGCTTTGCAAAGCAACTTCCGAGCCCTCTCTATCGTCCGTTTGTCAAAATTGAAGGACACCGAGATAATCGTCTGGGCCAAACGAAGTAACTAACCTAGATCCTCTAGCTATAAACGGCTACGAGGAGTTTCATTAATCTCTTGGCAGGCTGCTCGCATCGGAGTCGCACTGTCCGCTAACGAGCTGTTTGCGATTGCTTTAATGCCAACAACCTGCAGATATTCAATTCACGAAACGTGTTCATCGAGATATTCGCGCGGTTAACGATCGTCAAATTTGCTCGACATTCGGAGCCCACCGTGTTCGATTAAATCAGCGTCTACGCTAGCGTATCGCATGCGGGGAAAAACGCGTTGTTGCGTTAGATGTGTCTAGAAAGTGCGACGTTTGTGGATGAAATACAGGGTGTCCCAAAAATGTTGTAACACCTTGAAAGAGGTGGTTCGGGAGGTGATTTGAAACAACTTTTTCCTTAGCAAAAATGTTGTCCGAGGCTTCGTTGAGGAGATATTAACGGAAAACATTGACCAATCAGAGCGCGCGTATACCGTTGGAGCGGCCGCGGTAGCGAAGGCTACGAGCTAAGCGGCCGCGCTTGTACGCGAACAAGCGACTCGACGTGCATCGAAGGCCATTGACGCGGCCGCTTAGCTCGTAGCCTTCGCTACCGCGGCCGCTCCACCGGTATCCGCGCGCTCTGATTGGTCAGTGTTTTCCGTTAATATCTCCTCAACGAAGCCTCGGACAACATTTTTGCTAAGGAAAAAGTTGTTTCAAATCACCTCCCGAACCACCTCTTTCAAGGTGTTACAACATTTTTGGGACACCCTGTATTCTACGCGTTTACGACGATACAGCATCGTCGATGATAAATAATTCGAAACAAGAAACTCAAAAGCTTGAAGACTCTTTGTAGTCCCTAAATTACTGTCGCTAATTTCCTCAAACTTTACAAAAGTGACAAACGCAAGCCTAAATTGCCTTTGAGATACTACCTGTACTCAGACCAAGCTTTCGTAAACTCGAAATTTACTGTATCGACGACTCCTGTATCTCGTAGCTAACGATTGAACAACAACCAAGCGAAACAACGTAATAAAGACAGCGTTTTCCATTGCAGATGGCCGACGTTGCCGAGAGTGCAGCATTCACCGACCCAGCGACCGCAATATCCCACGGCAAACGGCACCTGCTAGTGCGGGATTACACCATGGCTGTGACCGCGTTAGCGCAAGCTTGCCAGCTGCTCGTAGAAAAACACGGAGACACTGCGGATGAACTCGGTGAACCCTATCTGCTCTACGGACGTGCACTTCTTGGTTTGGCGAGAGAAGAAGCCGGAGTGTTGGGCGGTGGAGTTCCAGGCACGGAAGACGCGGAGGAAGACGACGAGGAAGACGAAGAGGAAGCGGATGACGAAAAACTTAGCAACGTAGACGAAAAAGAGGAAGAAGAGAACGAGGAACCGGTGGAAAAAACTGCAACGGAAGGAGCAAACAAAGAAGAAGGTAGTTCTGAGAGCAAAATTGAGAAATCAAAGTCTGCGGAGGAACCCGCGAAACTAGCAGACGAAACAGAGAAGAAGGAGGAAAAGGATGGTAAAAAGGAGAAGAACGTGCCAGAGTCCAAGAACGATGAGAAGGAAGATGCTGGAAAGCCAGACTCTAACAAAACTGATGATAGCAAAATAGCGGAGCAGAAACAAAAGGAGGAAGAGAAAGCTACGGCCGGCACGAGCAAGGAAATGAATCATGCTAATGGACCGTCTTGTTCGACTGGACAGAATGGCGAGCTGAAGGAGAATGGAGAGAATGATTCCGAGGATACCGGAAAGGAGGACGATGAAGATGAAGTTAATAATTTACAGGTATACGGTTATGTGTTTCTTGTAAACCATACATTTGATTAATTCCTACTTGTACTGGTATCGCTCCATTAATTTTCGGTACATTACTGTAATTTTAAATTAATCTCTTATTGTTCAACGTTGCGTTACCATTCTACAGTAGGACTAAATACAGAAGATTAATTAAACTATGACGTCGCTCGGGGGCGTCTTCTATATAACAAACAACTGATATTTTCAATTACGAAATTAAATAAATTTTTGTTCTTAAATCAAAGGTGGCCTGGGAAGTTCTGGAGCTGGCAAAACTGGTACTCTTAAAACGAGGACAGCCTGGTTGGAAGTTACTGGCCGACGCCTATCGACTCCTAGGAGAGGTGGCTATGGAAGGAGGAAACTTTCAGGGTGCTTTGAACGATCTGCACCGATGTTTGGAACTTTTGCAAAAAATCGAACCCCGCGAACCGAGAGCAATAGCAGAGATTCATTATCAGCTCGCGCTGGCCCATTCTTTAGGCAACGAGTTTGACGCTAGCATCGAGGAGTTCAACAAGGCCACAGAGTTGCTAGAGACGCGCATCAAAGAGCTCGAAGAACTGAAAGAACCACCAAAGACTGAAGATTCCTTTTACACTGTCGAAGGAGAGATACAAGAGCTGAAAGAACTACTACCAGAGATCCGAGAAAAGATCTCAGACATGAAGGATTTCAAGCAAGAGGCTTGCAAGTTGGTCATAGAGGGTATTAAGAGCAAAGTGGCTGGGGGCTGTTCTAACGGTGCCGGTCCAAGTGGCAGCGATTCCGCGTCCACGCCAAAAGTTCAAAAACCAGCTAGTGACATATCCCATCTGGTGCGCAAAAAGAGAAAAGCTGACGAACCAGAGACAGAGGTTGCGTCGCCATGCAAAAAGCCAACGCCAGAGAAGGCTGTTTGAATATTTCGCTTGGTTCGGTGCGTTTGGGACACTTTTGATCGTTGCTTTGTTTCGCGCGGTGAAAATTCAAACTGTACCACTAATGGAATTTTTAGAGTTGGACCAAGGTAGGGTAACGATATTCGATCCAGCGAGAACGATTCTACTCGTTACCGTGGAAAATATTTTAAAAGCAGCAAACCGGAAACACTCGTATTTTTTTTATTCGTTAATTATGATTATGGCAGTAAACCGGAAACACTCGTATTTTTTTATTCATTAATTATGATTATGATTCGCGTGTGTGTTGAATTTCATATTTTCGTTGTTTTTACGATATGATTATTTATTTACCTTGAAAGGTCTTGACAGCGAAGAAGCTGTACTAATTACCGTCTACATTGCGAGTGTTTTAAAACTCTTATTCTCTAGGACACGATAAAATATTAAGGAATAAGGTTGTTCTTGTATAAGTCTGATTAATAAACGTTAAATGATGGTTTTTTTCTAATCTTTCAGAATGAATGCAGCTCGAATCACAATGATCTAATACGAACATTTCAGATTCATACTAAATGATTCATACTGTATTTTTTAAATTACAATATTATACAAATATTTTGAATTTAATCGAACAACACCGTGTGCTTAACGTCTATGATCACATTTCTGGACGGATTGTTAATTTGAGTTAAAACTAAATTTTGTGTGTGTATTTTTTACTTAATTCGCTTTTTATTTATTCGCCCAGGAGTTCTTCGATATCATCGTCTTCTCTGTCGGAACTCTCTTCTCGTTGGACTTTCATTTTATAACCGAGAGTGTCCAACACGCTCATGTTGTAATAGTAACTCAAATTAATCCCAGGTACTAAACGCTTTAATTCCTCTACTGCAGCATGCGCTTTATCAGTGTCGCCTATGTTAATATAATACTGTGTTATAGTCGCGAATAAATCACCACGGCGTACGGACTGTTCCAAATCAGGTCCTTGGGAATCGAGTAATTGACGGACCTGTTGCATCGCTGTTCCTACTTCACCTCTATCAAATAATCTGTAACAATATTTTGTAATATTTCGTTAACAATTTTATTTTGTAGGTTTTTATTACTGCGTACGATGTGCGTAAACATAGATACATACTTCTTGATATCTAGATAGCGTCTAATCGTTGCTATTCTATTGTTTACCAAATCAACGGCTCTTTTGTGAATATCAGGATCCCTTGGAGTGGTTACTTTTGCAAGACATCTACTGGCTTGATTTAGAGCATCGAGAGCCTTCTCATAATTCTGAAATTCGTCTATCTCCACCTGAGCGCAGGCAACATAGAAATTGGCCAAAAGATCCATCGCTTTTCCTTTAGAGTAAAAATTAATAATATTTTTCAGCACTTCTGGCTGATTTTGCCAATCCAGCGACTGTAGATAATTCCCAGCCATGATGTAAATTTCTCTCTGCCTAGAAACTTGAGCAAAGAAGCAGATCTTTTCTGTATCACCAGATTTTAGTAATGCTTTCATAGCTCTCAATTTATTTCCAGCTTGAGTGAATTTCTTTGTCGCCAAATGATAATTTCCTTGCTCAAAAGCAATTTCACCGATTCTTTCCAATATAGAGATACGAATCTTTTCGCGTTCCGGATCGTTATCAATCTTTTCCAGTGTCATCTTGTCTGCGAGATCTTCGATTAACTGAATATTGTGCTGTTGTATGAGTTCCAAAGCTTCCAAGTATTTTCTTCCTGTAGCGAGTAAATCTACAGCTTTTTCGATTTGATCATTCTGAACGAAATAGTCTGCACACTTCTCTATTAAAGCAGGATCAGAATCTGCATTAACATCCATAATAATCAGCTGCAAAGCACTATATTGCTGAGTTTTGAATGCAATGTCCAAAGCTTTGTGCAACAATCCAGCTTTATGATACAATAAAACTGCTTTATCTGGCTGGTCGTTTTCTTCAAAATATTTTGCAACATCTATTTGCGATTGCCTTGGTGCTAATACAGCCAAGGGCCATAATTCTTCATACATGTTGTGTTCTTTACACAATCTGATTGCATTTGTATAAGCTTTAGCAACAGTGTAAAAATGAATGGCCTGTGATACGATATTTTTCGATTCGTAATGTGCAGCTAGGTGATACGCAGAAGCAGCGTGATTTGTTCGAGACACCAGATCGCTAACTTCGTCTTCCTTGCCAAAATAACAAAGCAATCTTGTCATTGATAAAGTATTCTTAGCTTGTTCATATAAACGCAAGGCTCCCTCCATGTCTCCTGTTGATTCTATGTATTGTGCATGCCAATTTTTTATTTCTGGGTCTTCAGAATTGTTAAGATACGTCAACAATTCTCTAGGTCTTACGAGTAGCATCCTTGGTACCTCAAACCTGTGGCAATCTGCTTTGGTATACATCTCAATAGCCTCTGCTATTTTACCTTCCTGCTCAAGGGTTTTTGCGTAGTTATAGTAGCTTGTCTTTTCGCAAATTTTATTCTCATTAGATGCCAGTTGTATGGCTTCCTTGAATTTACTGCGAGCTTCGAGAACTCTGCCCAATAGATCCAATCTTTTCGCTTCGCGGAAGAGGCGTTCAGCGTCATTGTATAAACCAAGTTCCACAGCTAGTACACCCACCTTAGCTTCCAGATTTAGACTATCATCTTGCATAGCTTCTCTGAGTGCTCTTGCTGCTTTAGCTTGCTTCATATGACCCAAACACAGAAGAGCCATATTCAACTGCTTTGTCTTCACACACATTCTTGCCAAACTCTTCCAAATCCCTTCATTTTTAATGGACTTTATAGCCTTAAAAGCCTCATCCATGTTAGCAACGCTGATATGAAAGCTAAAATCTAAAACAGCTTTCTTTGTGACTACATCGCATATACCTAGTTCCTCGAAATCCCTCATAAGTAACTTTTCTACTTTACTATTTCTATCTGCAGTCTTCTCAGAATTCAGAATAATGATATGCGGAGTCTCTACACCTAACACTCTACAATTTTCGTCTTTGATTGGTTTTATATCCTGCACGACTATTCCATGATCTGACGTAGCAAACATTGATACTAAAACTACAGTAGCATTCGAAACTGAAAAGTCATTCTCTTCTTTTTGTTTCGACAACTGCTTATAATCTCGTGTCTCCAATTTCTGAGCGCGACACACTAAAAGCCTAGGATCTTCGACATCCCAGCAGTGAGCAGTGACTAATCTTCCTTTACACTTTACGGTTAGACCGGTATTGTCTTCGTCAGTATCGTCGGATACTGCAAAATCAAATTCGAGTATTTGATCGCTTTCTATGTCCCAGATGTATAAAATTGAACTAGGCATCAAATTAGCCATAGCAACGGTAATGGATACACAACGACAATCCGCATTACATCTAGCTTCAATAATCTCAGCAAAATCGCTGATCGCTTCATAAGTCGCCATTGCTCTGGTGTGTAACTTAGCTTCTCGCTTACTCAAATCCCAAATTTTTAGTATACCATTCAGAGATGCAACCGTTAGAAACGGTCCAGTGAGATCCATTGTAATTGGTTCACCTTCCTCTGGCAGTGTAGGTAGAATCTGGATAATTGTACCTTCCACCGACCGCAATTGTATAACTACAGGCGTCAAAACTATTAGAGTGTGATCGTAAATTAATAGTTTTTCCGTATCGCAATTAAAACTGGTAATTATAGCAGTGTTAATCGAATTTTCTTTATAAATTCTATAAACTACGATTTGTCTACTCGAGGATACGGCAACGTACTCTTTATTAACAGCAACGAGTTGTACTTGAATATCGGTTTTCAAAGTGTATGTCAGCTCTTCAATCTCTAATAAAATCTGAGTAGGACTGAGTTGACTGGCGCAAACCCCGTCATTGTATGCAGCACACATTGGTTGTTGATGTAATATAAATACATTTGTGATACAATTAACAGCAAGAAGTGGGTTTCTTAACAAGGCGGCACCCCATGTCAGTTGTTTCACTGTACCATGAATACTACAAGATTCTGGTATAGTTGGCCAGCCACTCTCATCGTTATCCATTTCAACTTTGCGTTTCCATAAGTAAATTGTTCCCAAATTTGTTCCAGCAGCCAAAGTACCTGTGAAATATTATCAATGTATTTGTATGTACAGATTCTGTTCTGCAAATGAAGTCAAGCATTAACAGTACCATTGCTTTTACAGAAAGATATGCTTGTGCAGATTTCTTGTGGTGTAGCAATACTTTCAGTTGATGAATCTGGTGGAGAAAGTACATAAGTATCACCAGTGTAAAGATCCCAGCAACGAATGCCTAATTCTCCCGTAAGAATTGCTAAAGTATTTCCGCTAGTCCAACACAATGTTGGACTAGTTCTCGATATATCGCATCTACTGCTAAGTTTCACCTAAACAGGAAAAATCAAAATTATATAAACTAGGATTGTTGTGTTTGGAAAACATAAAAAGAAAGAGATATTTAATCACTTTTGTTAATTCTGTGAGTCGTCCAGTAATAGGATCTGCTTGAAAATGTCCTATGTTCAAACCTTCTGTCATAATAATAATAGAATCTCTAGTCTGATGATGCAATAAAAATTGTAATGCAGCACCACTCATACTAAGTACTTCTGTACATTGTCCCTGATTATCAACAAAATATATCACACTGTTAGTAGTTCCTATATAAAAAGCATGATTATCTCTTTGAGGTGCAACAGTTGTTGGTGCAGCAGTTCTAGGTCGCCAAGAGCTAAACATATCTAATGCTCTTTCATCTCCTGCAACTGCTGCTCTTGCTAACCCACTGAAGCAATTAATATTATTTAATTATTTTCAATCAATTGAACACAGATATATTTCATACGCACCTTATATCAATTGTTGGTTTTGGTGGAATGGTTTTAAATATCATCTGCACAAAAGAATCTTTCAACTCATGATGAAATGTCATTAGTAATTGCCCTCTTGAATCAATTTTCCAACCAATTATCGACCCACTTGAGTCTGCAGATACCAATCTTCCACCATGTTGACTCCATTGTAGAATATTAATGGGATCACGATGTGGAGTAACTATTATATTGAATTCTGTACTTCCAGTATCACCTGGCCACACCTAAACAAATATTCACATAAATGTAGATGATTATGCTTTTAATTTCAGACAAATTATTTACCCGCAATTCTCCTGTTTCCCATCCTGCTGCAAGCCAACGTTTTTCTGGATGCCACCCAATAGCAGTGACCTGAGCAACCGAATGTCTTGGTGATTCCACATCCTGAATAGGCTCTCCTTGATCATCATAAATTGTCACGAAACCACCTTTATCCTGAGAATATGAGGCAATTGCTAACAATGGATAGTTAGCATGCCAAATCACGTGAGTACTAATAGAAGCTGTTTCTGGATTTTGTACACGCGCATCAAAATACAGTGACATTATTCTTCGATTGCTTTATTTTCACTGTTAACATTGAAACCCTCATGCAAGCAACTTATAAAATCTAATGTTTAACTTTATGATCTTAAATACGAATTAAAAATAAGTTTTATCTATCCAAAAACTGTAAAATCATAAATTTAAATATCATTGAAAAATTCATTGTATCCTTTTATATATAAATTAATATGTTGATGTCTGTCAGGAATTTTTTTTAAAAGATGAACTGTTTCTCAAAAATTTGACAGTTCACAACTTAGTTGACATGTTCGTTGCCATGGCAATATGGCATCGAAAGATGGACGAAAAAAACTGAGCCATCTAGCGACCAGGTAATTTAAATTCACAGTTTTAGTCACTAGATGGCAGTAGTATTCACTTTAAAAAGTAATTTTGTTTATATTCATTTTGTACTAAATTAATAGATAAAAGAATTATTTAAATTCATCTATCGAGGAAGTTAAAGAAAGTAAAATCTCGTTAGTATACAGTTTATTAATAAAAAGATAATTTATACATTTATAACATTTATGTTTTAGAGTCTAGGATTCACTATTCTATTAACTTGAGTTACAATTTCTTCATGCTAAGTACTTGGTCTTCTAGTTCAGCAATCTTCTACAGTTTTCAAAAATGATCTCTTAATATTATAATCTTATATTAACTGTAGTCTTACATTTAAAGTAAAGTTTATATGGCACAGTACCCTAAGATGCTCCTGAGTCTGAGTTTTTGTTGTTGCTTCTGTTTCTGCCAACAATGTTTTGTACTGTTTTTCTAACAGTGTAACAATACTGACTACCTCACTTTGTTTCATTGTGTTTAGAGATGTACTCAATTCATTTTTTTGTTCTTGTAATTGTAATTGTAAGGCTTTTATTTCCAAATCCTTGTTCTATAAAATAACATATTAAGCAATATAATATTGTACTGATTAGAATTTTTATACGATTACCTTGATAACGTGCGTCATTCTTTTCTCATAATCGCTTTCAAGTTTCTCTTTAGACCTTTCAAGCTTTAAAACGACTTTCTTCAATGCAGAGACCTTGGACGTGAGATTTTGATTTTGTGTTTGCGTCTCGTAATCTATTTCTTTTCTCCATTTGTTAAGTTCTTCTTTCATCATCGCGTACTGCTCTACTAACGTTCTTTGTAATTTCTCCTCCTAAGAGATACAGCAATATTTAATAGTATGCTTAATGTAATTGCGGTATTAAGCACACATGTACACAATCGTACATCTTCAATCTTCTTCTCCAGTTTTATTTCCAAATCATGGATCTTGTTCGTCAACAATTCAATTTCTTCTTTTCGTCCTGCATCTTGTCGTGATAATTCCAAATCTTTCTTCTCAAGGAATTCCTGTTTCATATACAACTCTTTACACTTTTCCTTTGTAAACACATCAAACTGTTCACATATTGCCTTGACTTTGTCCATCCATTGTTTTTCTGTTTCTTTAAGTTGCTCATCCTTCAAAATAATTTTTATGTTTCTCATTTCACAAATAAAACTTTTACTTCTTACCTTACCATGGATGATTTCCTCCAGCTTTTCAGCAATTACAGATACACTGTTATCCAATGCCTCATTTTTTAATTGAGCCCCTTCTAATTCATGTTTCAATGCAGTAAACTGTTGTACAACTGTACAGTGATAGTCTTGTACAACTTCTTTATAGTTTTCTTTCAGAGAATTTTGTATCTTTTGCATCTCTAGCAGCCTTTAACAATTTTTAATCGTTTACACTTTCATTGCCTCTTTCAAATTATATTTAATGGTATACTAACTTAGCTTTTAAAGTAGTGACATCAGAAGTTAATTGATTAATACTTGTACACAAGCGATTATCCATATTATTACTACAATGTCTCGGATGTTCCAATAATCGATTCTTTAGATATTCATTTTGGGTCTGCAGCTCTGTAATAAGAGTACTCAGTGTATCGATACGCTGCTCATAAATTTTTGTTTGACTTTTTCTTATTGTATTCTGATTACGAAAACGAACAGTTGGTGAAGCGTTAGTTGCGTCCAAGCATTGGCTCGTACTCGTGACGTCCATCGTGCGGTGCTTCATTAATGATCTACTTCGTTGGTGCTGGATACATTTTGCACTTGGTTTTAAACAGCTACGAAGAGGTCTCGCAACATAATCTGATAGATCGCTTACAGATGAACTAATACAAACCTGTATTACGTATTAATTAATTTAATATCACGGTAGAGTTTGTAAATTCTAATATAGGTACCATATGATATGACTTAGGCAATGGAATTAGAAATCCACTAGGTGGAGGTCTGCTGAAAATTCCGTCGATACGACCCATCTTCAATTGCCTACATAATTCTAAGAGATATTCATTTCTGAGACGGCGTTGTGAGGTTGCAGCATTTAATTTATCAAGCCAAACTTTGCATAATTGAGCACTTTCTGCAGATGTCAACTCTAGTACGTAAGGTCTGGTACGTGCTAGAGTTTCCTTAAAGCATTCGTCCAACTTCAAAGCTTCTTGTTCATTATGTTCTCCAATTTTTTGCATGATCTTTATCCAACTGGGTTAGAAGAAAGTATTATTTGAAATAAATTTAAAAAAGACATTTTTCCGGAAATGTTTACTTTTTAATAGTATCTTAGTTTTGTTTCTCGTTCAATAACGAAGATCACGCGATGGCCATGAATTATATTAAAAAAAAGGGGGTAGAAAACAAATGCATCAGAAATGGAATAATTTGAAAGAAAATCGTATATTGGTAATTACTATTTATTCATTACTACAATTTTCGGATACGTTTCACCTACTTTAACTTTGACTACATTTACAGATAGTATAATACGGTTCTTCGACTAGTACTCTTTGAAAACAATTATTAGATTACTTCATAAATTGACTAATAAAAAGACTTCATGAAATACATTGCGTAAAATCTTTATACAGCTATTTAGTATGATTTTCTCAAATTTTTCGAAAAGGTGTTTGTGAAAGGAGTACAAAAAATATTTGCACATACTATGTGCACGATTAACGTAGATAGAAGCAAATACGATAAGCACAATAGTCAAGAAGTGTGATTATTGAGCTCAATTACGTTATAATGATCCTTTCATAGCCAGTATCACAGGACAGCTCGCAACATGACAAAGATCAGGTGACTAGGAAATAGTCATAAGTTCATTCGTTCACTCTTAAGCTAAGTAATAAAATAATCCTCCTTTCTTTTATAAAATTATATCCCGTGCGTATCATATAACATTATTTTTTTAAATCGATCTTTTCACTGCATCTACTTATAAGATAAAATTGTACAATACGCTAAATTTGTTTCGTACTTTGTTTATCAGCCTATCGTTTTGTATTCGTTACTTTTGTTGAAGTTGGTCATTGAGATCTAAAGCAGAAAGTCTGCAAAATACTTATTAAAACATTAAACTCGACTATTCAATTTAATTTGATTTTCTGCCGTCTGTTTCAATTCTACAAGTTTCCCTTTCATGGGTTGTATGTTTGTACCTATCCATTCGTCAATCATTGTTGGAAAGAAAATACTTTCCATTTGAAATCGCAAATATCCTTCCAAAGAAGATAATTCCAATAGTAACCTACAAAGATCATTCTCAATGATATATGATTTTTATTGTAATAATCATAGAAATAAATGAACATACTCTGTGAAAGCAGGTACTAAATTCTCTAACTGCATCGGATTTGTGTAATTATTCGTGACTTGCCATGGATTCATCCATGTTGATATTCTATAACAATTAGTACACATGTAATAATGAAAACAATATTCAAAAGGGATATTAAAATGCATACTTACTGTTCACTAGCAGTAATATTATGATATTTAGCTCTAAAATTTAAAAACCACTCTACACCCACTGCAACCTGCCAACCAGGAAAGAGTAAATTGCTGGGGATCGGTGCTGGTCTTGGTTGTGGTGTTATATGAAGTGGATGATCTATATACCCTAAACTCTTGGCCACTTGATTGTGTATTTGTTCAGAATAACCATGGAGCCAGACTTTCAAGCATAACGCTAGTGACGGTATTGACGTAGGTAATAATTCGCATAGTGTCGCGTAATGGTCATACCTAAAATTAAAAGTCGATAAAACTATTTTATTAAATACAAATTTCAATAAAAATTACCTTGACCAACCAGTAAAAGCTGTTCCTCGAAATTCGTGAACTTTAGTCACATGTACACTTAATTCTTCTAACCATTTTTCATGATTACTGACATGATGCCTTACAACTGGTACATGTTGTGAAGATCCAGTAGCACCTTTAAATGCAGTAGCCGCCCAAATACGGGGAAAGACTGCGGTATACTTATCCCATAGTCCTAATGAACAATTTTAATACTATGTCATTTTCTAACATTTAGATATCAATATTTATTACAATTCCTCATAGAAACCTTACCATGAGGTATAGCAAAATTATCTCTAGGATTGTAGTGCCAAATCATAGGTTCTACATATTTTCCAATATAATGATCTGAAAATTATATGAAATACATTTATGCAATAATATATGACTTAGAATAGTATAAGTAAATGATCAAAATACCATTCAATATTTGTAAATCTATAGATCTTAACATATCATCCCATATGATAATCTTTAAGTAGGGATATGTTTCTTGTACATATTGTGCAATAGCCAAGATGTGTTCCAGGTATAGAGACTGCTTTCCATACTTGCTAGAAGCAGCACGTTTTGTACAAACAGAGCATAGACCTAAATGCCAGACTTCATCTGCACCTATATGCAAATATTGTATGTCTGGATGAAAACTAACTATTTGCCGTATCAAGGACTTTACCAAAGGCAATGTCCTGGGATTAGAGGGACAAATTGAGCTTGGAAAATGCTCTACTTCTCTCAATGATTTCCACTCATTATGTTTTAATACAAACTGTAATTGGTCTAATGTTAGTTAAAACTGTTTCAATTTATAGTTGCATTCTGGTTTTCTGTACCTCCATATGTCCGAATGTTTGGACCAAAGGAACAATTGCTAAACCACAGTCTCCTGCTAACTGTAAGATATGTCTAGCCTCCTGAGCTGTGTATCCACTGGTCAAATTGCTTAATCCATTGCTCCCTATATGAGAAAGTTCTCGATTGTATGGAAATGTGTCTTCCCATTCTAGGAGGAGACCAGTGGCACCCCATGTTCTCAGAAGAGGAAACAACTGCAATAAATTATGTATATTTAACGATTACATATCATTCTATGTTTTAATCTCTTAAGCACAACATTTTTGTACACTGCATTGATCCAACTTTTGAATGCATGGTTATAAGTAAACAATATAGTATCATATCCAAGGATTTGAAAAATTATAAAACGTGTAAGAATCACCTCGCAAGAGTATTAAGTACACCGAAAATTAGATACATGAAAGTTTAGGTACAGAAAAATTACGCCTTATTACGCGAGTGTTCTAAAACATAATCTACAAACGTCCTTCTTAGACAAATCACGAGACTGTATCAATTAAATAAAAATCCAGATATTGATGTTTAGAATTGTGTAAGAATTATCTCACAAATAATGGAAAGAAGACATGTCATTATAATTCGATAACGCTGCTGTCAGATAAGAGATACAGTGTGTGTAAACAATGTGGTTGTTTATTTGGGCAACAGACCTTCTCGAAGTAACAAACTCGTGGCGGAGCACCCTTAAGATCTAAGTGGACTAGTCTGCAAAGAAAATATCATTTTTTTTGTGATGTGACATTCATTTGAACAACAGTTTTTCGGAAATTTACATCAATTAATCGGCCGTTTACCTGTGCAAGCCAAACGTCAAGCCGTCCATCTTTCCTCCATTACTACGACGTTAATTAAAGGGGATACAGTATAAAGATTGCTACAGCCACTTTACATATGAAAAATTACAATAAATATTTTTTTTTATTATTGCGACACTAAAACTATAATTATTCACACTATGAATTAATTCTATATTTAGGTTTCAACACGCGGTCTATGATTTAAATTCGAACGCTGATACGAAAAATTTACTTAAAAATATCATCAATGAGGATAACTTGATAAAGAATTTACGATATTTTATGTATTTTGAAAAGTAAATATCAATCATTGCATTAGATGTGATAAAAGATTATCTACCGTACATTAACATTATACATTTCCTTTTAATAAAGCACATAGGTGTACCACGTGTTTAGGATCATTAGGACAGTATCAATAAAAGATGGTTCTTCCATGAAATATAACTTTATTTCTGTATACCTTTACTTCAGCCTTATATAAAATGTTACAACAGCAGGTGTAATATTTAATTTCCAGATGTAGTTTTATTGATCATGTCACAATACATTACGAGAATAGACGCACCATTGCAGTTGCAATGCGATCAGTAAATCTGTCGAACGATGATAATGCTTACGACATCTATTTTTCTTATCTTTCTTCGTACAATATTCTTGTATGTACGTTGTTAAACCTATGTAGGTTACATATTTGTTTTTTGTTTTAAGAATTAGTTACATTTAGAAATCTCTTAGTGGAATTTTAACAATTTGACATAGGATCGTTTATTTTCGTTACGTACGAAGACGTACACGAAAAATGGTTTGTTAAACATTGATAGACACTATTCGTATTAGGCGTCTGCTGCGATTCACTTTCAGGTATCATTTAATATGAGAAAGATTATACGAAACTACGTGTTTAAGGGAAACGTGAACGCAAATTATCTCAATGAACACAATATAGAATATATCTATTCTGTTAAAAAATAGCGCACTATGATAATAACTATGGTAGGCACACAGTTAAGAAATAAAAGTGCAATCGAACGCTTGGCACTTTATAGAATCCGCTGTACAGAAAATTAAGCAAAATTATCAAAAGCGATATGCTCGATTCTTTAACAGGAAACTACGTATCTTTCTTCCGTTCGTCCGTTTGAACATCGTTAACCTTTAAATTGTTACATTAAAAATAAAAATAAAAATAAAACGGGCAAACAGACAAAAAATTTGTCAAACAGTGACTTTTTTTATTATACAGTCATGCGACATAATTCGCCTTGTTCAGATAATGTCATTATCCCCTCTTGCTTTTGTTATACGTTACTTCGTTTGTACAAAATTGATTCACCAAAGGATGGCTGACACGATGAATCGCGCGAAGAACATGTTTTAATCGAACGCGTACACAAGATCTAACATATTAATTCATTACTTGTAATACAATCTTAAGCCAACAAAAGAAAAGTTAAGAGTAAAAATCTGAGTCATGTGATCCATCCTTGGTGCCTCGTGTATACAAGTGTGAGGGCAGGAATATAACAATAGTCAGCGATATACAAAAATGCGATCGGTCGTTTAAAAAAATTGAGCTAATCTTACAACTACACTTACAATACTTTAGGATACGAACGGGGAAATCAATCGCCATGTGCGCTAGCCTAGATTTCGTCGAACGTAAAACACAATGGTGGAAAAAGTTTGAACATCACGACAAACATCTATGCTAACAGAGCGACATCCAATTAATTTCGATTATTTATAACAGTGATTAATTTCTAGTTTTATCTTTTCGCACGATCAAAGCGTAACAGTATAGTTATTCGTTAACACACTCTTCTAATTTCGAAAGTATTTTCGTCCGTACCACTTTTTAAACCATATCGTTTCGGACGGGAGTTCGAAATTTCTTTTTTGAGGCCTTCATTTCATTGTTTTTCTATATATCTATTTTCTGTCGCACAGATCATGCATGTCCGACCGATAAGCAAATTTCTTTAAGTCGGATAAAATTTATGAGACAATTTTTCAATACGAAATTATCTGTTTGATATATCTCTTAAGATGCTAAAGAACTTAAGTCTACCGCCCATGATTCGTCGTGATAAATAAATTAATTACATGATCTAACGTTTACACCTTGTTGTTTCGACCGTACTCCAAAATTTGTTTATGATAAAAAAGAAGATACCTGAAAAGGAAACGTTATTTCACTGCATCCTTCGTAATAATACTAACTGCGCACTATAACCAGTGCCGCGGACTCACCCCTCGCTAGTTAAGACGTCTTTTAATCTTGCTCTTGTAATCAAATGATCGTCGCATTTAAACCATTGATCTCTTTGCTGCCGTATAAAGGCAGTGTAGTGTCCAGTTTCCAAAGAACCTTCATGATTTATTACCGCAAACAATGAATATCTATTATCACTGAATGCCATGTCCTCTCCATTCTTTGGTAGTCCATCCATCATCGCACTATTATTGTTACCGTTTCGTCTGTGCGACATGAAAGGTGTCATGTCTAATTGTTCTGGGAACGAGATGAACGTGGAAATCTTCTTGTCCTGAATGCTAGAGTGCTCGAATCGTTTCAAGTGAAAACTGGCCACGATAGGGAGCTGTTTCATCGTCAATTGCTTGGTGCTCTCTTGATAAGTTTGGCAATTGCTGCACTTTATTTTTGCGCTAGAACCCAAGTGTTCTGCACGCGTAAACCTTTCCAGACAATCTAATAATGAGGTTGGAGGACCAGAACTATCGGAACCTGATGCACTAGCAGCTGGTCCCAAATCCAACGATATATCCCAGAATGGGTCTATCGTGGTCGATACTCCGCTAAAAATTATTATGTAAATATAGGTTCGTTCGCGTTACGGTACATACTACGTTATGATATAGATTTGTGTCGTACTTGCACGCCTGACAAACCACATCGCTTTGAAGCCCGCCAGTAAAGATTTGATCGATGATACAATTACAATGATGTGGATTATCTTTTACTAAAATCGGCGCTGCTTCGCAATGCCTATGCAAAACGTCAAGTGTAGCTATAAAGAATTCATGGGCATCCTGCTGTTCATAACCTGCTAAATGCCTGGCATGCGTCCATATCAAATGAAGAAGCTTGTGAAGTGTCAATGGTGCTTTACTGCCAGAATAAAATTCCTGAAAAAGATGAGACACTTCGCACACCAGGCAACGAGTGGGTTGTGGGCAGTGGTGACGGTCAGCAAGGAAATAATCTCTTAATAGTGGCGTGTGTATGAGTGCTTGTACAATACAGTTCATGAAACATGTACTTCCGAGATTTATAAGTCCTCTTAGACCTAAAAGTATTATAAAGTATAATTTTTAATTTATATTTAAATTCCTGATTTGCATGTAACATATGGTGTAACTCTTACCTATAGTAGAATTTTCGACTACACGCCTTCTGCGTGGATGTTTCCTTAGTAAATCTGCCTCTATTTGCGTTGGTTCCCATGCTCGATAAAATTCTCCAAAACTCAGTGATTTTGCAGACTCGCTCCACTGAGCTTTAGCAACTGTCAATAATTCTCTATCGTATACATAATCGCCGCATTGGAAGCACAAAATATTTCCATAACAAAGGTCAACGGCTGGAACATGAAATTTATCTAAGAAATACGTTCTGCAAATACGTTATGCTGGTGACTACTTGTAATTACCTAAAAAATGCTTTTTTGTCTTTGCATGTTCCTGTATATGACCTTTTACATAGCAGCCAAAGAATATACAGTGAAGACAAGAATGAAGGCGGTCTTTGTAAGTTTTACATGTATGACATAAGCAGCTTACAGCCTGAAAAATATAAGAACCATTTATTTACTGTACTCCTTATAGAAGATAAAAGTATTATCATACAAGTAAACTGTTATATAGATTAGATAAAAGTATGCTTATGGAAAGGTATCATGTGTTGCTCAACATATGTATAAAATACGATACGAAGGTTTATTTAATGTAAATCATAATTGTGTTATAGTATAAATGTTTGCGAATTTTCATCGATTGTAATACCGTAACATTATGCGAGCAAAAAATCTATCAGAACATTGTACCGGCAGAGTAATCATGTACGGCCGCCATTTTTAAATCCGTTTTTACACACGAGACGTCCATAAAAAGAGGACTGAAAATTAAATGACATTATCTGTATTGTATACAACGATTGTTGCAATTCGTGTTACAGTAACTTAAATCTAGCTTAGGAAATGAAAGAATGTTAATTAAGGAATGAGAAAGAAACACAAAAATAGGTAGAAAAGAATCAAGAATAGATTATGGATCGATAATCGAGTTTGTGAAATATTCAACGGACTATTTAATATTCCCAAACAACGCAAATAAAGACTGATCATTAGAACCGACCGTTATGCTAATAGCAAAACAAAGAATTTTTTTAAATGAACCTCATAATGAAAATCCAGGTTCATTAACAAATTAACAACCCCATCCTCGTAAAGCATGAATGAATCACGTAAAGAAAAAACAAAGCGGTCATAGAAGTTAGCACACTACTGTAAACAGTACGCGGGTGTTTACGGATCAGTTTGTCATTCTGATTAGGATATGCCCCGTGACTCAAGATCGCAAGTGAGACTAGAAAATGACAAAGAAAAGAAATGATCTCCGGGCGTCCGAGACTGCGAAAACGTCCTTGGTGTCGCGATTTCTCATTCTTATAAATTACTGTTTTTATCGTGTACCCGACGAACATGATCCCGTAACGAGACTACCAAATGGCAAGACGGAAAACAAGAAACAGGGATAGTACGACGTCGAATACAACATAGAGAGAGAAAGAGAGCACAGGCGAAAGCGAGAGAAGAGACAAAGACAGAACCTTGACCACGGATCACGCAAGAAAAAGATAGTCGCACCTTTCTTACGCGTGCCTCGGTCGACGTGCTGGTCACGAAATAGGAGTGTATCACTTTGTACGGCTGGATACCCTTGGCTGCTTTGAAATTATTCAAGTGTATGCAGCCATGGTCGCTCATCTCAGGCTGGCGTGAGCGACGCTGCCCTGTCTCCTCCTCGGCCTGGCAATAGCCCTGAACGCACTTGGATGCTCGCCGGCCTTCTTTGACCACCCAACAGATAACCACGATGACCACAACGACGAACCGAGAGTTGACCACCGACGG